ATCTTGTTATGTCAGCAGGCCTAGGGACCTGGGTGAGCTAGTGAGGTGGGTGTTATTATTAACATCCCCCCTTTTATTTTATTTTATTGTTTCTTTTTCTTCCAAAAAAATTGCTTTTATAGCTCTAATGTTTTACTTTTATTTTTAAATAACTACAATTATTTTCAGTAATGATTGTTTTATATTTATTGTTTCATTGGATGTTGTACACTGCTGAGAGCCACTTTCTCTAATAAGGACAGCCATATAAATTTGATAAATATCATTCTATGTAATTCATAGAATACAAACCATAATGTTCTATGATTGAGAGAAGTAACATCTGCTGAAATTTGGCTACTGGCACTCTTAATTACTATTTTTTTAATGAAATTGATTTCTTCTTTGCATGTTACAATTTGGAGTTTTCCCCTCCAGCAGCCTCTTGTGAAGCTGCAGCTCATACCTAGTAGTGACTTGAAATGGTGGCCTCATTAAACAGAGCGTAAAACAAAAGAGACACTACTTTTTCTTTACTAAAAGAATAGACTTTATTAAGCACTGTAAGTCTTTCTCCATCATCAACAGATGAACAGCGCACCAAGATTCCACCAGCAAAAAACATTCCCAAAAGACACCCAAGCTTTCTGATCACAAACCTACTGCAAATTTCCCCTGATTTAGAGCAACCTGTCCAAACTTACACTGATTAAAAAACCCAACAATCTATGGAGTATGTTGTGGGGTGCAAGGATTGGGGAGATAGGAATTTGATTATCAAGATTGGGACAGTAAAGATAACATTTATCCATCCACTAAGAACAGGTGTTAATTAGCATAAAAAGAAATATTTTTAAAAGGTAGAAGGGAATAATGTATTGATCATTAACTTCCCATATAAATAAAGCATGAAACTTGCAATTGACGGGATCACTAACAAGAAAAATCAGATTTACTCTGTTCAGCAAAATTATTGATTTGTATTTTTTTAAGCTAAAATCTTAGGCTAAACATTTTTAAAAGGCAATTGTGGAGGGATATATATCTGGTAAAAATGCAATGTCAAGGTTACTCAAGGAAAGTATGAGGGAAAAGACTGGCTTAAAATAACAACTGAGTTTGTTTTTACTTTTAAAAATCTCACTAGGCATTTAGTTACTATCAACAAAGCATCTACCAAAAATACAAGAGCAATGGTTATAATCAGAAAAGGTGTACATCCCATCTGAAAGGGTAATATTATAGACAGATATGGTGCTTGTGGGAAGAAAGGTTTGATTTTTCAAAAATGAGGACAAAAATCTAATCTGAAAAATAACTAGAAAATGAGCAACAGTGTCTGACTTTAAGCAATGACCAGTAAATAGCAGTTAAAAATGGAAAGATTTGTAACAGGTGTGTTCATTAGGTTTCCTTTAAACATTAAAGGTGGACTTCAAAACAGAAATCAGCACAGATAAAACCAAAAAGCAGAAAAGTTTTTTGGGAGGGGAGAGAATGGAAAGAATAAAAAATTAAAAATAGCAGTACATGCATATTTAGCAAAGTACATGTTGTAAGTTAGCTACTATAATGATTCAACCTTGGTAGTAAAATTCTGCTAACTACATTAAAAATAAAAAAAGAACACATTGTAGTTTGTGTAGGACTTGTGTGGCCTAATCTTAACCATGCTTACTTAGAAGAAAAGACAATGGGGCTTTTCATCCAAGTAGCTACAGTTAAGGTTTGACTAAGTTACATTTGAAGTTGAGTGATGGGGGGAAAATGGTGGTTCTCTGGCCCAAATGGCTAGTTAGTGGCACTGTGTCCTCTTCACAGGCTCAAGTGTATCTATATATAATTTGTGGATTGGGACACCCCCATTCCCCTCCACAAGAAACATGTCCCTGTTGTAATGTTTATCACTTTCCCCCAGGGATCCAAGGGTTCACTTGTTTGATTTTGAATCCAAGAAAAAGTGGAATTCTAAACCACACCAGAAAAAGTTAAAAGCTGTCCCTCCCTGAAAAGGCTCCCTAGTCTTTTCAAGTATATATTATATTGAAAGTATATTTGGAATATTCCATTTTCATAAGAGTTCCAGCCAGGTTAACTGGTAGCAAAAGCTTAGGAATTGCTAGCCACAGAGTCACAATTTTCAGTACTGCCTCAGAATGGGATGACTCCTAAGAGAAAGGCAAGCAATCTTGGTCAACAGGTTGCTTTTAAACTTTCCCACCCTCCCTCCCTGGTGACAAAATTATGAAGGAAGCATGCTAAAACCCCATGTCTATGATCTGATGGGTCAAATCCTTACAAAGGTTTTTGGACTTCATGAAATATGCTTTAGAAGTTCAGAACTGCAACCGAATATAGCAAGCTTAAACAGATTAATTTTATATTTCTACCCTAAAAGATGTCTTTCTATATTTTAAAGCAGGGGTCTCCAACCTTGGCCACTTTAAGCCTGGTGGACTTCAATTCCCAGAATTCTGGCAGTTGAAGTCCGCCAGGCTTAAAGTGGCCAAGGTTGGAGACCCCTGTTTTAAAGGATGCAGTCTGAACTCAGAAAAACACTTTGTTACATTGGTAATTTAAGATTCACTGGATGATGGGTAAAGAAGCATCAGATTACTTCAATGAACTTTCAACATCACAATATGCTAACTCAGCAATTGATGACAATAAACATGACAACATAGGTGGAGTTAAGTGGGCCTTAATTCACTGGGATAAATACTTGACAATCTATACTAACACAAAGATCCATTTCTAGAGGGAATCTAGACCAGGATCCCATAGCAAGGAACTCTCCAAAACATCTTAAATTCAATTTCCATAATCTAAGGATTATGGGAGTTGAAGTCCATCTCAAATGGAGGGCACTAAAATGGGGAATACCAGGCAAAAGGGTTACAGAAATAAATGAAAAGGAACGACCTAGTTTCACAAATACTTGAGAAAACCTTTGGGTCAGTTAATTGCAACATTGCCCTAGAAATCAACCTCAATGAACTGGACATTTGCAACTAATTGCAACCGTTTTGTTTCTAGTAATCCATACAGTTTTTTCACAGATACAAAAAAAATCCTCCCTTTTCATTAAAATTCCATATTCATTAAAATTCTATGGGTGTCAAATTCACATCCTCATGGCAGCATCACGTGACATATGGGAACTCCCCACCTTCACTAAATCGGGCGTGGGCAACATGTGACCCATCTGGCCCGTGGGCCACAAGTTTGACAGCCCTGATCTATCATTGCTATTTTAAAATGTCTAAGTTTCACAGGCACTAGCACTAAGTTTCCAGCTTTCTAGAAGTGCAAGGGTAGAAAAAAATAGATGCTTCTTTGTATATTTAGATTTTTACTCCCATATTTCTCTAAGATCACAAACAGGCTAAACTTACAATAACTCTTTTTTTTTTTTTTTAACCAAATAATCAGCAGTGGTAAACATCTGCAGTGACATATTTGAAATGAAACACTCCAGATTTTTAAATTCAGATACAAGAGTTTGAGGGCTACGAATTTAGCATCTTTGAAATCTGAACCCTCCCCTCAACTCCAAAGCAATACTTTAGATTTCTGGTTTCACAAGAGGACCTCAATGTCAGAAACTGTTATTTAAAAACATCAGTTTGAAAGTTGGTCATTTCGGGGTTTCAATTTGAATTAATCTTAACATTACTATTTAAGGCACAGTGTAACCTGTATTAACATTTGATTTTTGATCCCTCAAAAATTTTAGTAACTACTGTAAATACATCTACTAGTTCAGGAAAAGATAGGGAATTTGCATTCTTTTGCCTTCAAATAAAGACAACAATATGAAAATCTTACCTGTTGTTTTTCAAAGCACAACCCACTGTAGCACAACGCTCCTGCTGTAATTCTAATCCAACCTTTTTCAATCTGGTTCTCTCCCCAGCCATGTGTTAGATTTTAGACCTCCAAATTCCTTAGCCAGTGGACTGGGGCAGGCTATTCTGATCAAAAGAGAAAAGGGTCCCTAGAAGACACTCATTCTGCAAAAGTAGAACCCCAAATGATATTAATCAGCTCTATCCTAAAACTTAGGCTGGGGAGGAGCCCTTCTAAACTTAATTCTCTCAAAGAAAGGCTTAAATACAAAACCTTTCTCCAGTTTGAATGACTTCATCATAAAATATTCCTATTTTAGGTCTGCAAACAGGAACCACACCAGGCTGACCTGATTTGGGGAACTGCAGTATAATTAAAACAGTAAATTTTTGCAACAACATATGCAAATCCACTGTTGCTTAAAAAAACCTGCCAAATTATTGCTTTTTTACTGTGGACTTAAGAAGGTCATGTCATCTGGCTCTCATACGGCGGAGCAATGGGCATCACATCAGAGACGTTTTTTAAGAAATGGTCATATAAGTGAAAGCATTAACTTATGCCAGTAAAAGATGCCTTGACCAACTGAGGTGAAAATCAAAATACATTCAGAATTCTAAATATATTGATGGAGAAATGGCTGATTCTTTGGATCCAGAAAGGAGAACAAAATCAGTAATTTTATCCATCTCTTTGGCTCTGATACAACACTGGACTTTGAACTGCATGTTTTCATTTTCCTTTTTACAGCCCCTAGGGAAGCACTTTGCATTTCTATTGAGTATTTTAAAGCTGCATGATACCTTCTATTGTTTTGGATCAGCAGACAGTAAACAACAAAATCATGCCTCAATCATCTACATGTTTAAAAAAAATATCCAGGATAATTTTTATCAAGGGAAATTGAATAACATTATTTCAAATTTCATTTTCTACTAGTTTGGCTTAAGGCTGCATATTCCAGATCAAAACTAAGTAAAATTTGATCTTCAAACGTTGGATTTTGTCATGGGTATAAAATGATCAAATGCATATCTCCACAACCATTTTCTAAAATGTTAAAAAGATACCTGTACCAAATTAAATTTAGGCATCATTTTCAAGATCTGAAACTTCACCCAGGCCACTACATTTTTATATATCTTTGCTAATATGAACAATTAGGATTTTAAAAAAAAATCAAAATGACTTATATTCAATCCCACATTCCATACTTCCATAGAACCACAGTTCAGAACTCTGATATTTTTCTATTACTTGCAAAATGAACTAGTTTACACCTGAGACTCATTAATTTCTGCAACCCAGACAGACCATAAAACCACATGGATTCTGCAGGGCTTCAGAAATGGGGGTTGGACCAGAATGGTTTTTTTGAACCGTAACAATATAGTCAATCAAACCCTGATCCTATTCCCAAAAGCTCCCTCTTCTGAAGCACTGGAAATAGAGTTAGAAAATGAAGACGATAGAAAACTAGGCAGCCTTATCTGCCCCTAAACTGTGAGATACTGTAGCAAATAATCTGTATGTTAAGAAATCTGCATAATTGACTAACATAAGCAAGCAGATCTCTAGCTCTGGAATTAGATGTCAAAACTGGCTAAGATTTAGCTGCTCAGACATTTCTGTTATTCTTAGTATAGAATCTTGCCTCCATGAATACTGTCAAACTAAAGTTGACACAAAGGAAGATGTCGAACTATTCATCAAAGTTCACTTGGGATCCCATTCCAAATTGAAGAGTTAAACAACCTGCATCAGGAAATATTGTGGCGGTGACATGAAAGTCTTTATGTTTCCCATCCTTCATCCTGGGAAGAGAAGGGCACTTCCTTGTTAGGCCCAGATTGGAGTGCATTTCACAATGGAGAGCTCTTCAAATTAGTTGTTTCAACTGAGACTGAGGCTAGGATATCACCAGAAAAAGTAGATTTCCCCCAATCTTTTTTGATGTGTGATTTAAAGTTCTGTCTTATTCTGCTATCATAACAAAGAAATAAAGGCATGAATCTTAAGGCCATTGTAGAAAAATTCAGACCTGGATTCCACATTTAGCGAAAGATAATAGCTGCAAATATTTATGCTGGATCTTCCTTGCAAGAAGTAGAGACATACATGTCCCTTCCAAATGCCATCCGATGCTTGACGCTGGAAGTCCATAACCTTGGGATTAATATCTGCTATTATAACTCTAGATATAGGATGCTACCTAGATACCAAGGCTAAAAGAACTGTATTCTAAATGGTACGTTGGGATTTGTTTATTCGTTTTGCTTACTGGACAACTGGGTTTTGAAGCTTTCTTGCAAAAGAAAGTTGAACATTTAAGATGTTATTTAGGGACTGCAACAGGATGTAATATGAAATATTTTTTAAAAAAAGGAAAAGATTTTATTTTTGTTTTGGGGGAAAGCTTGTAAGATGTTCTCTAAATGTATGGTTCTCAGTAGTACTGCTATCTTTAAACAAGATGATTCTCTTTGTTAACTCTTGAGCAAGTACTTCAGAACAGAAAAGACACCAATTAGTCAGTTCTTCACAATTTACCTAGCAGAACAAAAACTTTCTCTTTTCAATGTTTAGAATGTCAACCCAATTAGAATTACTAGTTTTTGCAGCTGAAAAGTGTACTGCTTTGACTATTAAAAAACATCTGATTTTTCCAAAATTTACCTACCAGAAATACTTTTTAAAAATCAAGTTATTCTTAATATTCAAACTCTGTATCACAAACTACTTTAAATAGCAGCTTTTTGTTTTCTAAAATAGAGTCTACTTCCCATATTTCCCATCTACAACTATGATAGTTTTCAAACAAAAATGCTCTCCCACTCTTTAGACTACTCTAGCTATTTCCCCAAAGTTGAAATCAACTCTTTCCTTTGGCTGTTGTCAAGTTCTTGACCACAAGGGACAATCTTTTTCAGGTGCTACCTCCCTTCTGGCAACCATGGATCATTTCCAAAGATCCTCTCTTAGAGCAATGTAAGAAATTTCCCATCTCAATGAGTTTGAGTCAACAGCTGCAGAGCAAAAATAGCCAACTGGTTACAGATAAGATTCCAAAAATTGTCTGAAGCAAACAGTTCCAATCTTTTGATGAGAGTGATCTGGCAGCTAAACTGGGAGAAGGGAGATCAGGACTTCCTACTTTGGGTTCTGGTAGGTGAATAACTCAAGGGAATGGAGCCAGCTGTAGAAATAAAACACCCTGTTTCAGATTTTAAATCCATTTTAAACTACCCTTTTATACATTTGCAGAAAATAAGGGAAATAAATTTGTAAAAAATCTGGATAATACCCTCCCCCCCTTTTTAACACAATCCTAATTTTCTTATGCAGTAATTGAAATTGCATACATTCAATTTAGTTATCCTGACTTATTGCCCAATAATCACTCACTAAAGGATCTATGGTCACAGCTATCAACATTTATCTTGTGGCAATTAATTTCATATAATTACTCAGCACTATTAAGAATATTTTTCTGATTTTGGTTTGGAGTGGAATCAGCCATTGTTCCACGCAGTGATTTAATCATGTGCCCTCTGCTGGGGGAAGCAGAAAGGGAAGACAAATTAAAAATCAAAACATATTTTAGATTACTCAAGTCATCTGAGGTACATGTCATAGAAGTTGTAAGAAACTAGAAAGAAACATGCATTGCAGCTGGAAAACTGGTTTAAAAATTCTTTCCAACAAAATGTTCAGCCTGTTCTATTTCCTCTCCCAAATTATGTGATTTTTAAAAACGTTGTACTGCCTGCTCTATATTAACATTCTGCATTTGAAATCTGCTTCAGTATACAACATTTCTAATGAATATACCAAGTTTCCAAAAATCAAGGCTTTCAGATTCTACAAGATAATCTGCAAGGATAGGTGCAATTCAACTTAAGACAACCCAAAAGGATAGGGAAATGGGAGAGGAACTTGTGTATACAGTGGAGTTTAGCTACACTACTGAAAACGTCGACCAACTGTTTTCAGAAAGTCTTTGAAAACTTTTCCCATTATCACCAGCATAAGAATTGGTAGCAGATTGTGCAAAGCCTGGGGGTGGGCAGGGTGATTTCTAAAAGGCCTGATTCATCCTAGATTCCCAGATTGTGTACTGAACTTGTAGGATTCCCATGGAAGAGAAGAATAAAAGATCACCAGCTGAGCAACTGCAATCAACCTCCCCCAACCCCAATGTCACCTTTTAATGACAAGAGGTATAATCCCACCCACCCATCCAGTTTCTGGGTAAGATTGATATCTCTGCAGCCTCACCCCATGACTTCCCCATTTGGATGGCTATCCACCCCCACATTTTTATAGCCCCAGCTATCTCCAGCCATTTGTTCACAGTCTTGGAATTGTAACAGTAAGTGTTTGTCTGTTTAAGGATAAGAAGTGTTCTGTCTGGTATCAGGAGGCCTGCTTCATCTACTGCCGCAACCTGAGGATAGGACCTAATTGCTGGCAACTGGCGAAGCAGACCTTTAATTCAATAAACGCGTAGCGCTTTGGAACGCAAGTTGTCTCCCGGGAACATTTTTACCCCTTCCGGGCTTGTAGCATTCATATTTATATATAGCTCTATTCTTGTTATATATAAATATAATCTCTCTCTCTCTTTCATATATAATAAAAAGTACACGCCAACTGCTATATGCATCTTGTGTATAATTTGCAGTGGTGGTACTACTCTTTCTCTCTTAAAAATCATTGTCTCTCATACACATCCCTTAATTCATACCAACATCACCATCCCTCAAAGCAATACTGCTATTTGGCCTGATGGTGGGGGAGTTGGCAAGAAATTAAACAAGGCAGGCAGGAAAAATCTGCCCCATTTTAAAGTAAAACCTTCCTGGCTTTTTCTTCCTTTAAAAATATCCCCCTTCCCAAAATCCAGAATTCATAATTCTCGCACCCTAAAAAGTCTTCCCCCTATAAAATTAAAAAACAAAAATAAATTCAAATAAACTTAAAAAAATTGCCGCCTTTCTGGATCCGATTGGCACAGTGGCAAATTTGAGGGGCAGAATGCAAAAAGGCTGATGTTATCCTCCAAAGCAGGGGCAAGAGTCCCAGCCGGCTGCTTGACCTCACAGTATTATATCTGCTGTAAGTGGAGCAATTCGATTAATTAGCCCAATGTTGTAATGTGAGCTATCAAGACAGCAATCTTCCTGTCCCTGCCCTGCCTAGCTAATAATTCCATTCCAGCACTTGATTGCATTTACATTCTAGCCAGCGTGTTGAAGGGCTGAATTTCCCCATCCTTTCCTTGGCAGGTCAAAACCTTCTCTCTTGTCATCCCACCCCACCCCCCATTTGCCAGCCAATTGGACCCACAGCGGCATCTATTCACTCCTCTTTCTGCAGAGCTGGGAAGGGAAGTTTGTTCTCCGGGCACCGTTCAGAGTCCCCACCCAGCGTCCCGAAAAAGGGGCTTTTGTTATTGCATGAGTCAGTGTCTCTTGCTAAGGCACAAGGTGATGCGGCTGAAGGACATGCTCCAACAGTGGGATCTTCGTTGGCTCTAGAGGGGGGGCCTCCATCTCCATTCAACTGGGACTGGGGTCGGCTGCAGCTGCTGCTGCTGCTGTTGCTGCCGAACTCGGAAGTCTTTGCAGTTCCATCAGTCAAGTTCTGTCAAACACAAAGGATAGCTTTAGAGAAAGATCAGGAAGCAGAAGACTCAAAGCCTGCCATAAAAGATTAAAAACACAGCTGAAAGAGCTGAAATCTCCAAATGTCATAGGATTTTGGTTTTTTTTTTCTGAATAGTTTCAGGCAGTTTACAAAATATATACTGTATATATTTCAAGAGATTTTACAATCTTGGATTATTTTGGCTGATTATATTTGTTACGCATTAACATCAGAGTTCTGCAGAGATTCTTCTTACGGAATCCTGATTGCCCTGGTGTCAGCAATCGCTGTGCAGCTGACCTTTGTTGTATGCATTTGAACATTTTCAAAGGTCATTCCTTCTTTAAGGATCTGCTGCATAGTGGATGAGATGGACAGAACTCAGTATGGATCAATCAGCAAAAGAGGAAAACTCTTTACTTAAAACTACAATAAAGTGAATTTCCACAATCCTTAGGGAGACATACTTGCTTGTTTACTTTCTTGTTTCCTTTGGGAATTTTTCCAGGGCCATCACGGCCACGGCTGCAGAAAAGGGGAAAAAAAAAAAAGCTGAAACTTCAAGTTCACTGGTAGAAAAGATAGTTTATTTATTTATTGGGTGTACACTGCTTTATCACTCAGGCATTTTATGAACAAGATCAAAATAATTAGAACATCCAACAGTATTTAGGATAGTTTAATCTCTTCACAATAAATTTCCTGTGCTAAAAAATACAGCTACTTCTAAAGAGCCTTTCACTCAGGATATATATAAATTGTGGTCAGATAAAGATGCTTTTCACATTAAACAATTTTCAGGAAGCAATTGAAACACAGATAAAAGTTTGTAAAGATCATGGTCCTTTATGTGCAGTATGTATTTGTCAGAGTCTCAGAAGATTGACATTACATATAAATATTAAACATGAACAACTATATTTATTTCATTTGATGTTTTCCTTTCCATTAGTTATCATCCATCAGGTGGGAAACAGAGTCAACTGAAAGTTGAAATTGCCATTTAGCCTACCTTGAACTGTTTCCATCAAATCTGGTCATTATAGGAAAAATGTATCTTTAAGAAACAATGCTTTAATTTGCTGTTCTCCTTTCCCATCTCCACTCTTTCTCCTTTTAGCTCTGTTGAAGTAATAATAATCCCAGAGCAAAATATCCAAGCAAGCACTTGTAGCCTGTGGTTAAGATGCCCTAGCACAGGGCTGTCAAACTCACGGCCCACAAGTCGGATGCATCACGTGCTGGCCACACCCCCGCCTGGTTTAGCGACGAGGGGGGAAATCCCGATACGTCACATGACGCCATCGTGATGATGCAAGTTTGACACCCCTGTCCTATCATTTCTACAGGTTATAAGAAATGAAGGGAGAATCTGGCAGCAACTAATCAAAGCCATTCTATCATGCTACTTACCCTTTCCCTGGGCCTCCAACTGATACCACCTGCATGCCAAAGGAGCCCTGTCCCCGAGAAGGTTTGCTCCCAGCCCACTGCCCCACCACCATCCCAGCAATTTCCAATTTGCCTCCTTGTGGTGGGATTGGATGAAGTCCTGGAGAGAAAAAGCATAGTCAGTAAGAGGAAAGATACAAAAGGAAAGGGGGACATCGGATTAACTTTAGCCACGATCTAGGATTCGTAACTCAAATTTATTGTTGGAAAATACAGGGAAGGGGGAAAGCATGTGCGCACATGTTTTTGTTGGTTAATTGTACATTAGGTTGCATCCTTTCAACATTAAAAATACAACTATGAGCTGGAAGTCACGAGATAATTAGCATTTAACATTCCCAAGAATTCCATGCCAAGGTGGCACTGTACTAAGACTCTTAATATTGGTACTATAAAACTCATTGTTTAGAACTTTAACTCTACACTCAAAAAATAGGAATCACATAAATGTGAATTAAGTGTCTAGTAGAAGCATCTAGACCAGGGGTTGCCAACCTTTTGGACCTCAGGGACCACCAAACTCATAATTTTAGATCCCAGGGACCACTAACTGGTTCTGTGGGTGTGGCCTAATTTGTGGGGGTGGCTTGGTAGTCATGTGACTGGCTGGGCATGGCTTGTATGTAAATAATATAAATATTTATATAAATATTGAATTTTTTTATAAAAAAAAGAGCAACTTTTACCCAAAAACAGGCAAAGCAGGCAGGCAGATTGAGTTGCTTACAGAATCACAGATTCATTCAGAGATCTATCTATCTGCCACCGGCTAGCTCAGTCTGTCACATAAAATTTGCTTGCAAGCAAACTCACAAAATTAACTCACAACACACCATGCATGTAAATATTGAATTTTTTATTTTTTTTAAAAAAGCAACTTTTACCCAAAATCAGGCAAAGCAGGCAGGCAGATTGAGTTGCTCACAGAATCACAGAATCATTCAGTGATCTATCTATCTGCCATCGGCTAGCTCAGTCTCTCAAATTTGCTTGCCGTGAGTCTGCACTGAATTTGCTTGCAGGCAAACCTTCAGTCCTAAGGGAGATTCGGCTGTACTTAAAAGCAGAGCCGAAGATCTAAAGACTAGCTAGAAAGCAAGAAATCCAACCATTTCCCGCTTCCTAGCTAATCTAAATCTCCAGGCACAGCAGAACAGATGATGGTTAGAAAAGGGAAAAATAGAAATTTAGCAGGCAAGTTTGCCAGGTAACAAGTGAGTGGGCAGGGAGGGTTCCCGCGGGCCATGTGGGTGGCGCAGCCTTGTGTTTCTGCACAGCCTGGATTAATTGCTCTGGGGGTGAGATTTCTCTGCGGCCCACCAAAATTTTCTCACGGCCCACCAGTGGGCTGCGGCCCACCGGTTGGCGACCGCTGATATAGACCATGGTCATTTACCTGTGAAGCCTCTAGTCCTCCCAGGGGCTGCTGGTTGCATTGATCCAATAGCGCGAGGGTAAAGAGGCACTGGATAAAAAGGTGCTGCCATAGAGGGCATAAAGGGTGGAGGTGGGAGAAGAGGTGGAGGAGCCTGGCGATTGAAGTTGATGCCTTCCAGAATACTCTGCCTCATCTTCTCTACTTTAGACACCTGCTCGGTCTGACCAAGACCAAATAGAAACAGAACACACAGATTAGGTATTCAGTAGAATTCCGGGAAAATCTCCATATTCCTACGGTCTTTATCTAATATCCTCCAAAATCAAGGAAGTGCAACTGATGAGAAATCTAAGGGCATGTTCCTTTGGCACAACTTGGGCAAAGTGCCAACAGCAAAAATCATACCACAAATTGACAGTAATTGGGATGATATATCCAGATAATATCAAATACCGCGACTCTCGCTTGAAATCAACAGGATTTGAACACGATTCACTTTATTTATTTATTAAATTTATTTGCCGCCCATCTTGCCTTGGGACTGCTCTACAACAATAAAAGAAAAAAAGATGATAAAAATGTAAAAATAACAATAGTAAAGGAATAAAACAATAAAAATAACGAAAGTAGAGAATATGAAATGAAAAAGTTGGGCGGAAGGAAAGCAGGAAGCACGGGGGAAGTGGGGTCAGAAAGTTAAGTCTAGTAACCACCTCCAGGGATGAAACCCCTCACTGGGACACACATACACCCAGGCCAACCAGCAGAGCCAGGTCTTCAGGCTCTTACACCCCAGGGGATAGGAAGCTCCAGAGGGTTGATGCTACTGCAGAGAAGGCTCTTCTGGATCTTATCAGTCGGAGTTTTTTGACCGACAGGATCCTCAACAGGCCTTCTCTGCTGGTCAGAGTTAGTTCAATCATCCTATACAATACACTCTCTAAAGCACAAGATAAATAAGATAGCTGGGCTATCAATTTGCTCCAAGGCTTATTCAGGACAGTAAGCCAAGGAGAATGACAGCACTGCACTTTTCCTGCTGTCTTTGTGTGCAGTCTAATAAAACACAAAGCGCACATTCAGCTATTGATGAAGGAGACAAAACTGAAAGAAAAAGTTATCTGGAATATCAGCAATTTGTAAAGGTGTTGTTTTTTTTAAAAAAATCATTTTATAAAGCAATTTGAGAGCAACATCTCTATCTTTGCTCAAATGGCTTCACTGTTGATTTTTGAGAGAGAAGAACATATAGTCAGCATTGGGACCCTCTCTTGCACATCAGAACACCTACGAATGAAAACCGGAAACAACCGCTGCCACAACTTCGTAAGTCAGAAGCAGAAACAACTGCTTGCTACGGGATGCTTACCTGGCCATCACAGAGGTCTATCAGAGGTGCCTTCTCTCGTATAGCTTTAATCAGTTTGCTTTGAAAGAGTTTCCCATCAAAGTAGATCCACGGGCAGCAATGCTCCCAGGGCACAGGCTGCCCACAAGCATCATTGGCAAAGAGGGCCGTGTCCACTCCACTCATAAACAGAGCAGCCAACTGAACTCCTCGGGGATCCAGTTTCTCAATCTGCAAGGAAAGCAACATCCCTTTACTCCTTCTCCTCTTCTTTCTGGCCTTCATGACCATGATCCAATTTAAGTGTCTTTATAAGGCAGGATACCGTAATACTACTACTTCAGTATTAAAGACAGAATATTAGAGAGGCAGCACAATCCCTGCCTCTGTTCCCTAGAATCATATTGTTAAAACAGAAAAGTATAAACTTCCAACTGAGCATCTATTTCACATAAGCAGGTTTGTCTATAATGGCCAACATCCATCCCAGAGACACTAAGTACTTATGTCATACGGAAGACAAACTACAATACACCACAGTGGCTATGGGTTAAACTGCTCACTTGCTCAAATCATAAGATTTACTGGTGTGAAGTATATTTTACCTCCAGGGAATGTTCAGCCAAGAGGGGGAAGAAAACAGCATTTATTTCAAGAAGATGCCTCCTAAGGCAGAGAGGTCACCTCCATTCAATATTCCCACCCTTTCAGCATCTCCCAGACAACACCTGGGGCCATTTGGTTCCTCTGCACTGAACATGTACTTTGGAAGCACTTTCATTTTAGTACTTCTGCTCTTCTTCTTTAAAACTGGTCTAACTCCTCTTTCTATCCACCTTTAATAAGGCCGCACCCCATTTTGAGAGAGAAAGTGATCTAATACACCTGTTTAGAATAAGTACAAGGGATCTTCCAGTATCAAGGAGTCCCTTACAACTTTTATCTTGGAATTAAGGAGTAGGCTTTCTTCCAGGACCAATGGCACAGTACTGACCTTCAAACAGAACTTTTAAGTAAAGCAGGACTTGTGACAGTCAAAGAAAGAAGGGGTCGAGAAACATTTTTACTTCTACTAAAAATGTTACAGCATTTGTCCTGTAACATCTCAAAATACTGTCCTTAATACAGCTTTCTGGGTCTCCTTTAAGCAACCAGGCATCGAATGTAAGCATTCCAATATCATTTATGCAGATCTGTATTTCAGGTCTATGACAAAAAAGTACCCTGCAATATAGGAGATCTAGTGCATCCTAGTACAACCTTTCCCTTGTCCCCCACGCCTTAGTTCTCTATGTGCAATGGAGCCTTTGTTTACAGACAAGCATTTCATCAAATGATCACACATTTGTGCAAATTTACCTGCTTTTTATCAGAACCGCTGAATTAGTAAGATGAAGTTTGAAAGGGTAGAACCTGGGAGGGTTGAGATACCAAAGCAGTAAACACAAGTAATGGAAGAAGTGAGCAAGGGATGCATGAACAAGCAGCTAACTCTATGCCTATGAAAATGTAAGAGGAATTTACCTTTCATTAGCAAGAACAAGACTTGGGCGCTCTTCTATTCTCGCCCCCATAGCTCTAACCTCACCTTCTCTCTTCTTTCCTATTCCCACTGGGAGGACTAATACAGGAGTGATAAATAACACCAACCTTCAATTCTTGAAGCTGATCTGGTTCATATAGCTGAGCAGACACAGCCTGGGCCAAGAAAGCATCCAATTCATGTCTGTGGAGGATCCGGCCTCCAGGCCACTGTATCATGTATCTTGAAAAAAGAATAATTCAAATAAAACCACAAAATACATTATTAAACAAGAATCAAAATTTAAAAGACTTTTTACTTTGGGATACTGCTGGGCCTTGGAGAAAATTATACCTGTTTTTTTTTTAAATGTTGAAATCTAGAATTTGTAGTTTGACCCAAAAAAAAAAAAAAAAGCATGAGTAGACAGATTCACTTAGCAAACATTATGAGCTGTAAAGCTAAAGAACTAAATGAAGTTTCACACTTCAGTAGTCACCATTTGCAGAACAAATATCCCAAATGTGTACCTCAGTAAATGGTCTGGATATTATTTGTCACCATGTTTAAAATCAGGAAATGATTCTAGATTGACTTGTAAACTTTGATAGGTTTATCTTCAAGTAACATACATCAGGAGATCACTAAACTCATAAATATAACAATAAGCTTTCAAATGAAAGCTTATTGTTATATTTATCGGATAGATTTATATCCCAATATTTGCTCAGTATAGTATACCTAGCCCTTCCTCCTTCCATTTCCCCCCCACAACAAAAGGTTGATGAGGTGGGTTTGGCTGAGACACTGTGACTCACCTGAAAGTCACCCATTAAATTTCTGTGGCTCAGGAGGGATTAGAACATGGGTCCTTCCACTGCCAGTTCAATATCTGGACCACTGCATAATGCTTACCCTTTTATATTTTCAGATATTGTCATCTCACTCTTACCAACTACCTCCAATACACAACCAATTCCTGGATTTTTCAATAGTACAGATCTCTCACAGCTCTTCTTCATAGCTATATCCCACTGGTGCCAACCCTAGCACGCAATGTTACTTGCCACTCTTTTGACTTATCTCTTCAGGTATGCTCCACTCACCGTAATACACAACACATGAGCAGTAGGTGTGTGGGTACATTGGCAGGGTTGAGCATGCCAGGGGTGTCTGATTTCATACAAGCCAGAAATGCTCTCATACGCCGGTTCTTGTCTTCCACTGCTTTGCCCAGCCAGAGCTTCTTGAGGTTGGGACAAGTCCACTCCCGAAAAGCAAGAGCTGAGACCAACTCTGGGGTCTGAGGTGACTTCCCTTTGTACGCTGACCATTCCTTGACGATAACAGGATGAGCTATGTAGGGATGAATACCTGATTAGAATACATTACTTTCCCAGTTCATATAATAAGGAAACAAAACTCAGATATTTTAGGCCAGGTCTATTTCAATGAATGTACATTTACAGAAAAAATATATTACAAGCTCAAAATGTAAAACAGTGCTATGATTCCATTGTACATTTCAACGCAGTAGATAGAAATAAGAGGCCAAATGGTTGCATTTTGATGGAACTGATTCCCCAAACATAAGAGCACCTCATCCTCTGTCTTATGTTTGAATAACAGAATAATGGAGTTGGAAGGGACCTTGGAGGTCTTCTAGTGCAACCCCGCTTCTCAAGCAGGAAACCTTATAAAACGTTAAGTACAATGAACCCCAAAAGTTAATAGCCATGGCACCAAACAGTAATCCTAGCAATAGTCTTTCAAGTTGGACCAAAACTACCATGAAACAATGCATTCAATTCCATTATTGCAAGTCAGGAAAGGTATCATAATTAGACTGAAACCAAAAAAGATATCCACCAGAATCTACCGTACAAGGACACAATTTCTTTATCCAGCATCAAACATGGAAAGCAAAGTATCAGGGACTACTGAATGGTGAGTTCAATGTACATCATTTAGCTGCAAAAGATATTAACTGGGATTGGAAGCCATAAGGTAACACTAAAATATGAGAGGGTAATTAAAACACACCCGTTGGAATTGAACAAGGTAATTATAAGGTGCTGTATGGTGAGAAAGAGGGAGGGAAAAACATTTTCCTCACTGTATAAATATTATGAAGTATGTACAGTTGATTTATGCCATATAACAAAGTAATCACAATTGGAGTAAATGGCTCCATAAAAGGGAGAAGACATTATGAAACAAGACTGCCAGGGCATGAATTCCACAGCTATGTTGTAGGATTACAAACCATCACAAAGTGCTGCCTATATAATTATAAACAAGTTGCAGGGAAAAAAAGGTGGCGTGGCACCAGTCCCTGCCTGGGGGATGCCAATCAAAAGAAAATAGATAGAAACAGACAAAATAAGATGAGATTCATGTTCAGCACTAAATAAGTCGGCTAGGAAAGCAAAGCATGTACAATACATGTAAAGATCAATCATGATACTACCAAAATATACAGGAGGAGGCAGAACCTGGTCCCTGAGCCATTCATGATAAAATAACTGAAGAGAAGGCAGGTTAGTATCTGGCTCAGAGAGTATGGATGTGCACAAAACAAACAAAAGCTCTTTCTGTTTTAAAACAAAGCCGACTTACTTATTAGAAATGGCTTTTAAAAATCCCCATAGCAAACAACAGCCAACAGCAAGCATACTTTGCGGCTTGCCTGGTCAAAGCATCTCAGAAGGTCTAGCAAAGAAGCAATAGCAACAGATTTATCTCAACCCAATCCTTAAAAACACACAACACACACACACACACACACCCTTTCTCTCTCTCCTCCCTCCCTCTCTCTCTCTTTGACAATTAGCTTCACAACTCTTACTGCACCTATATAGTGTTATAGGAAAGCTACTGAATCAGGAAGTCTTGCCTTCAGAATATGCTCTGAAAAGTCTGTTAGGGATACACCCTAGCAGAATGTGCAGGGCAGTCAGTCAGTCAGGCAAATATGTGAGATAAATGTTTTTGTAGCTTAAACTTAGTAAAACAGATACACTGTGCTAGTTAAATAGTTTATTCCAGTAAGAGTTTTAGCATAGTCAAACAGTCCATATATCATTCACTAGTTCAGTCCGTTCGGGGATTATTCAGTTGCAAAATCCATTGTCGAAAAAGAGGTTAGTAAACTTACAAATATCAGTCCAGTAATATATCTCCTCGCAGTAGAGATATAAAGAAGTCAAACCTCCTTTCTTCCTTCGACTTTCAAAAACTCAGCAGCAGGGAATACGCAGTTAGCAAACCATCAATCCAGCAATCCAGCAAACAAGTAGTTTCTCTTGCTCCCTCTTATGGCGGTTTTACAACCGCACCCAAAATTACATGCTTTGCAGTTTAAAGTGACACACACTTAAACTTACTATCATAGTTTATATATATTATTTTACCCAAACTACGTTAGGTAACCTTGTTATTCCTAACAAAGTCAACAAATAAAGCAACATAGCACTTCCATTTGGTAACTGGAAAGCCCAACAACGTAACAACACTATTTGAAATGCAGATACTCAATTTTACACATATGCATAGGGCAATCTATTTGAAAAAAGGACACCACATAGGGGCAAGGCTACATTACATCCCACAAACTCCATCATCCCATTTAAACACACTGGAGACTTATCCCAACCCTCAGACGGGCAGCACTAGACACTCAACTGACTCCCAGCTCTCATCTTCTCAGCTGCTTTGAGAAAAGGGGAGCAGGAATAGGATCTGTACCTGCAGTCTTATTAACCAAGCAAATCCCACCATGACAAGGTACATCCTTCTGAACTACCTAGCGTAGGTTCTGGGAATCTTGTCTCCCATATTTTTAACACTAAGCTCTAGAAACAGTGATCAGATTTACAAATTATACTAAAGCATGTCCAGTTTGCTTCATAAGCGGTAAACAAGAATGCAGCCCTTATGTCTCACTTAATAAACGGTGGCTAAGAGACATTACTATGATCTAGCACTAAATGAGAACTTAGGAAGTACACACATGTATAAAAGTCTGGAGAAGTTACCTACTTTCCACGGGAATGCGCTTGCGCACAGCCAGGCGTTCCATCCGCCGTTGTGTCTCAGCCACACTGAAGAGGACACCATATACATACTGCCGCGAGGCCCGGAAAAGGACAACTGCTGGCGGCAGTTCAGTGTTACATTCATCTTCAATGCACACAGGGACTTTGATCTCACCCTGGAATGAAATGAGAATCCTGGATCACTGATTCTCAAACAACCTGGTTGCACCTAGGACTCCTGCAAGCAAACCAATTAACAGACCCACAAAAGCTCACTGCCCACCTCACCTTGGTAAGGACGTGGTAGATGAAAGGGTACATAAGTCCCCGTCGATGCCTATGTTCAGCCACTCGAAGTACTTCTGGAGCAATAGGAGGCAAAGGCGGGGTGGTTATGTCCATGTGGTTGCGGGTTGCCATAGAGAGCAATGAAGGGATGTGGGCTTCAGGTCCACTCAAGGTCCTTTCTGAGTTGCCAGTGTTCCCAGGTGATTGTCCCCAGCCTTGATTCATTATCTTTTCACCCGCAGGATCCTCCCAGCCAGACTTGCGAGACACAGTTTCAGAAACATGGCTGGAGGAAGAAAAGGAAATACTGTCACCCTAGAATGGGATTAAAATCCAGGAATCTTGTTTCTTCCAATTGTGTGACAGTACAACTATTCAGAAGTCTCTCCTCTCATAGGACAAGGGTAGCATGTCTATGAGGCCCGGCTAATTCTCCCCACTTTCCCCCATAAACTATCACAGTCACCCCAGGGTTTCTGAAGAAAGTCACAAGACTCCAATGAGTTACACTCACTTGGAATTGGCTCCATTGTGCTCTTCTCCATCAGAAGAGGAAGAGGGTGAAGATCCAGGCCCAGATGATGGGGAAGGTTTGGGACCCAGGTGATGGTTAGGAAACTTGGCGGGACAGTTATCATATGATACCGGCCAGTTGTTGAAGTGACCAGCCTTCAAGGCAGGATCTTCATGGAAGGGCATTGCGTCCGCCAGGCCATGAGGTGAGAAGAGAAAATTGGAACCAGGACCCGGAAGAAAAGACGAGGCGGCAGCAATGCCACCATGTGGACCAGGTGGCTGGTACTGCATCTTTGGCCCCATTTGGGGTGCAAACTGGAGATGGGAGCAAAGAGAAGGGGGGGAAAGAATGGCTGCAATCAAAAGTACTTATTCAAACCTAGGGAGGAGCCCAGTAGCACAGAAACTAAGCAAAGACCCTTAAACACTCAGAAGTTTTTGGATTAATTCTCTGGCATTTGTAATTAAAACAGGAACAGAGAGCACACAAGAGAAAAGAATTGTCTGAGGTCCTGAAGAACTGCTGTGAACCATAATAGTTAAGTACTGGACTAGTGAGATCAATGATCTAAATCAAAGACAAAAAAGCCTCCAATATACAGATAGGCCTTGGATTACAATGGCAATTGGGACCAGAATTTCCATTGCTAAGTGATGTGATTGTAAAGTGTGATCTCATGTGACCGCATCATTTATCAACAACAATCCAAAACCACTAGAGAATATGCAGGCGGGGGGGTGGGGAGAGTGGGGGAGGACTTATTAGAGCATTATGCAAACATCCCTTCCAGCTTTTCCATTTGCTTGTAGGAAGTTGGCAGGGAATTTAGCACCATCGTAATTTGAGTGGTCATTAACTGAAGACTATCTGTGGTTCTGAAATTATTCTGTACGAGATCCTATTACATTTTTTTTACTCCTGACAACATTTACAAGTATTTAAGTGCTTACCTCCTACCAGAAACAGACAGAAAAAGTACATTCCACCCCCAGGAAAAATATTGAAATTCCACAGTCATATGTTTCAACTATCATGTGCTTATTATACACCAATGCCACATGCACAGCCATGGTATGGTTGGACTGTCACAGGGAACTCTTTGGAAAATGGTAGCAAAAGAAGTTATCTACAGATGCACAATAATTCATGAATTTGCTCACTACATTCAGATAATTCAGTTCTCCATAGCTGAGTTATATGCTTGTGCCCCCATGAGTGAAGCAAATTGATATAGTAGCATTTTAAATCTCTCTTCAGATCCAACTGCAAGGGGGATGCAATTTTCTGAATGATTCTTCATTCAGAAAATTGCATCCCCCTTGACTTTAACCTAAGCTTCCCCTTGATGCATTAATATCTTCTATGCAGTGGGGCCTTATAAAGGAAAAAAAAAGCATTCAGAAATACGATTTTTCCCACATACCAGCTGTCTGAAGGATGCAGGCCAAGTTCAGGTATCTCAATTTGTAGAGTATACATTCCATCTCCCTGTTGTAGCTTGGGCCTGAGAGGACCAACAGGGCTTTCTCTAACCCATCAAACATTGACCTTCTAGATGGACGCAGTAACGGAAATCTCACACTAAAATCTCACATCTGCCTAAAGCAATTCTGAGCACTTACCATAGCCTTCCCAGAAGGAAGTGATACCATTGGATTGCGATTCAGAGGTGGTGGCCCTCCAAAGTGATTAGGCCCAAATGCCGGGACTGAAACAAAGAATTGGACCCTTGTTATATTAAAAAATAATTGTCCAACATTACTATCAGGATACCCTGAACAAAGACCTCTGCCAATGCAGAAGTCCATTAAATTGGTGTGTAAATAAAAAAAAAAATACTTCAGACAGAAGTTATGCATGGGAAATCATATCTTCATTGTCTGAAGCATAATCAGTCTTGCATTTTGCATTTTCTGTTTTTTAGAGTTGGTATCCATGGACAACTCTTTATACTTGGGCAACTTTACCCCCAAAAACCTGAGCTTCAGATTCTTGGGATAGGGTAGAGGATATCCTGAAGTCACTGTGAGTAATAGCAGGATGCAATTCTACTGGCTGTCCCACATGAAACTGAAATTAGAGTGAAGGGTGTTTTGTCCACCATTACCATTTATCCTTGAAGATCTTAGAAGTGCAGGATTAGAACATTATTTGGGAACTGTTTTAGGAGAGTGGCTCTCACACACGTGACCAAGTTTCCTAGCAAAGGATGATGTCAGAAACAGGACAGAAGCCGGATACAATGGCAACAATATGGACTAAAAAGGCAACTTCCAGTCACTGAATCCAACAGTAAATATCTAAGGGAGCATAAACTAGTGGTTAACCACCAAACCCCTGGTTGATTTTTAATAAGATGACAAAATTCTTCAAGATACTAGGGTCATTATAAAGAATACTGGATCAAGGGGCATTTGGGCCAATTATGTCTTAATTGCTTAAATATATTCTGTGTACAATCTTTTTGCATTGTAAAATTAAACACATAATAATGGACAGTAAGGACAACTATTAAGAATAGTGTACTATGATCTCTGAATGCAGGATCCAGGAGAGGCCCAGTAAGATTACCAGCATCTGGCTTGGAAAGGGGCTTTTGTGCCTTTAAGTAAACCATGAGACAAAGAACGAACAGAACTTCCAACTTGTTATGGCATTATTTTGAAGAAAGCATCCCAGACCTCTTCCAGCCACGTAGTTATTAAAAGGCACGAAAGCTCTCTTTGGGCCAAGAGAAGGTAATTTCAGAGTTAAATCCAGACCTGACCTCTCCCAGCAGAGGATGCTGTAAGGTATCAGGCAGGGCCTCACCTTCTTGGCCAGCGGGAGAAAACACGCTTGAGAGAGAGGTGAAGTTGACCAGCGTCGCCTGGATACTCACGAACATACGGGGACTGGCCGGCTGGTGTAGGAGGTGCTTTCATGGCCACTGAATAATATTCTACTGCTTTCTTGAAGCGTTCTATTTTATCTTCAGTCCTGGACTGGGGAGGAATGAGAAAGAAATGATGGAAATGACAGGGAAAAACGTGTGTAGCAACAACAGATTTAGCATGGAAATCCGACTATGGTTAGCTATATACTGTACACTACCGCTTCTATTCCTAATGTAATCACAAAATAAGATTTATATTTATTATAGAGCAGAAGGAAAGAACCTCAGGAAACTAGAAACTCATTAGTTTCTATCAAAAGTAAAAACACTGAAGTTGTCTGGCATCACATTGGCTTCTATTTGCTCTCTTTCTCTTTGCAACTTTTATACCATATAAATATTATTAAGCCTGATTCTAGTCTAGACCCATCTCACCTGGGAGTGTTTGAAGACATCTCTCCCTATTATATCCAGGCCAGAGGGACTTTTGATGGCACCAACGTATTCAGATACAGCCTTGATGACTACATCACAGGGTGGAAGGACCAACTGGTGGGCACGTACCTAGAACCAACAAGAAGCATGCAAGTAGACAAAAGTTTCAGTGAAGACAAAAGGCAGCACAGTAACAACTCTATAGTCTAAAGACCTGAACAACTACCATTAGTATAATTAGTGTGAAGAACAGAATAGGAAAATTCCCCCATCTCATCAGTGGATGAGGGCAAAAACGGGACGCATGGAGGCAAAAAACTATTTTTTTTTCTTGTTTTCCTCCTCTAAACCAAGTCTTATAGTCTGGTGCATCTTATAGTCCGAAAAATATGGTACTTTTAGCTCTACTTCTTCCTGAAATCTATTTTTAAGTATTACAGGAATCCTTCCATTTCTTTTCAGAACTGACAATTGTGACACTTCATTTACACATTTCACATAGAAAAAAAAAAAAACAATCTGGCTCCATTATCATCTCTTGTTGTATTTAAAGCGATCCTTCCATTTCAAAGTTACATTATTTGGGGGGAAACCCATAGTTTTCTTCAGGTGAACACAATATAAGAGCGCAATTGTTTCTTAGAACTGACTGCAAAATTTAGGGGTGTTCTTTCTTACTCCTCCCATTCAGATGATATTTCTGAAAGCCAGAGACAGAATCCAGACAACACTCGACTAGTTCTTTGGGCAATAACTCTGTAATTCTTTCAATTCCTGCCTTGCTGCCTCTTCAGAAGAGGACAAGGAGGGGTAGGGGTCACCTTAAGTGAAGCAAGCGGGTGGTCTGGTCCAAGAAGACTCCAATGGAAGGCGGCCAGGTCCTCATCTGGAAGAATGTGGTTCCCTGAGGGGGGGAAAGGCACAGTAATATACAATCAGCAACAACAGAATTCAACCCTCCCCTTTGCCCAAAATGAAAATAAGCAGAAAATATTATAGAATTTAATGTTTAGCAAATTATATTTTGCAAGAGGAGAAAAAATTTGAACTGTGCATAGTATATTGAGAATCCCAAATCTGAAACACTGCAAACAGAAAATCTGTACTCTTAATACTGAACTTCGGAGTACAGCAAAGTAATTGAATTATGTTATTGTAGTTGAAGCTGAAACTCTTATTTGATTCAGGCTGGTTAGTTGGTCTCCATAAAATGAGGCTCAATTTGAGATGTTTCAGATCATATTCTGCTTTCCAGATAGTGGCAAGAGACTCCTAATCTCTAGACATATGTAACCCTCCTAGCCTGATTTATTTATTTATTTATTCCTAGTAATTATTCTAAACATTTTAAATAACAGCAAGAATTTAATGTATACTATATGCACCTAATCCAATAAAAAGATTGGAGTTAAGATCAGGGATTTTGCAAATGGGACATCCTTTTGCCCTTGAGAATATTCCAAGCCAGCTGCAGCCTATTTTTTTTTTATATCTGATGTGGAAAAAAAAGTTATGCTTTTTCACATAACATTAAGAAAAAAATAAAAATAAAAAAGCACGACACACACTGAAAAGCTGTGTCTTTGTAGTCACTGTAGCTTTTATAAACTATGGTTACCATGGACTATGATATAACATGATGTACATAAGGTTAACCAGTTTCAATTTACCCAGCAAGGCAGCAAATATAGGAAAACTGCTCAGCTTGAGACCCAGCTGCTTGGCCACCTCTTGCATGAGGAACTGGTTAGTGGTGAGGTTTTTGCCATTCCAGCTCAGCTTCAGGGCATGGGAACTATAGTAGGAGGGGATGTTGCAGAGAGCATATTCCGAGTCATGGGCAATTAGTCCATGAAAGCCATTCTCCCGAAAGAAAGATACGACTTCCTGATGATGGTCCTCCAGGCTCTGGAACACCTGAAAGGAGTAAAAGGACAAGGATGACTAAATTACAAGGGAAAATTTCTTTGCCTTAACTTATAATAAAGTGCTTGCTTTGAGATAATTCACTCATTGATTTTATCTTGTCCTGCTTCCCACCACTCTTCAGAAGATGTAAGATGTGGAACATGACATGGAACGCTCCAAAGGCCTTTACAGGAAAACACCTGGGGGCGTTATGGAAATATTTCAGTTTTGTGCTACTTTGCAAACTGTGGCTGAAGTGGGGTTCCATATAGTCTCATGTTAATTCAGACCAGCCATAGTACTAAAAACAGATGAATTGAAATGGTAGGAGAAAGAAAAGGGAGGTTCTACGATTTCACTCCATATTAGAAGCCATGATCATATTAGACAATAAGTATAAAATTAGATTTTTTTACATGCTTTTCCCTGTGGATAAGAGAGGAAACCTAGGCACTGTATGACAGAAAAAAAAAAATCAAACAGGAAACAAAATAGATGTTCCTAGAAACCAAGGGGAATAGGAAATCATGATTATTTATATACTGTTTCAAATCAAGGTATTAAAATAGATTAATGTATAGTTCTGTTAATCGAATAAATTATAAACTCGAACAGATACTGTTCAATTCTTTATGATCAAATAGCATTTTTTAAAAAAGCTGAACAAATTCATGGTGGAAGGTTTTCCAAATTTTGAGGTAAATTAAGACTTCTGCCTTCATCTGAGCCTAGTAAGTTTAAGGAAACCTGCAGTCTTTTTGTTGTTGATATGCTGTCCTGGATGTTGAATAAGTGTTGCTATTTTGTGTGTTTAGAACTTTTTCTTTGTAGCAGATTATTTGTATGATGTATATTTGATGGGGTTGAAAATTAGTGCAACCATCAGAAATAAGCAACTGAAACACTGATATACATTATTTTTATGCTACCACCTTTTAGAATTATTCTTTTCTTCCTTAGTTAGTATAGGGGAGATACAGCCATTGAAAATGCCATAACTTTGGTTATAAGGTCTGTTGTAGCTAAATTATAGTCCTAGCTGAAAAAAGGTAAAATATCAGAATTTCATGAGAATCCTAAGAATGAAACTACAGAAGAACAAAAGACTGTGGATCTTAAAGTCATTATGGTCATAATAATGCTGAATATTACAGAATAAGGCTATGCTTCAGCTCAAAGTACATAAGCTTTTTCTTTAAGAACTTTAAAAAAGATTTAGAGGAACCAGAGGGGACATTTCTTCCAAAGGTTTTCAATAGTATAAGTCACTAGCCTGGCAGGTGTCTAAATTTCATAGTGCATATCTCATTTTCTAGCACTTTATGTTCACACACATTTCTTCCAGCTCCTTTAAAAGTACAACTTTTCCCACTGTCTACCCAGCTCACAGCATTGGAAACAAAACAGATCTTAAACTAAAGACAAAAAATTAAGACATAATATGCAAATCCCATGAAAGACTTCCAATTACAGATCTCTACTGTTCAGTACAGATTTGTACTGGTTTGGAATTCCTTAGAAACAAAATTTCAAATAAATAAGTACACATGTAAAGACAAATTTGTAAAAACTCTATTTCCTTTATTCTTCTACACATCTCTAAATACAGAAATCTGAGTCCAAAGAATTACCTCAGAGTCACTTGACGTGAATATACCTAATGGGTATTTTAATTTTCCTTCATTCCTTTTCCACATTCCCCAGTTTGAACAGTAGATACCATGGTACAGTGTAACAATGTGCTTTGAAAGTCCATTCTTTCTAGTACTGGTAGTCCTCAGCTTACAACCATTTGTTTACTGACAGTTTGAAGTTAGAGGCATTGAAAAGTGTGACTTATGACCATTTTTCATATTTATGACCACTGCAGCATCCCCATGATCACGTGATCAAAATTTGGATGCTTGGCAACTGGCATCTATTTCTGATAGTTGCTGTGTGCCAGGGTCATTTGATCATCTTTTTTGACCCTCTGACAACCAAAATCAATGGGGAAGCAAGATTCATTTCACAAATGTGTTACTAAATTAAGAACTGCAATGATTCCCTTAACAACTGTGGTAAGAAGGTCATAAAATGGAGCAAAATTCACTTAACAACTGTCTTGGCAACAGAAAATTTGGGCTCTATAGCGGTTGTAAGTTGCGGACTGCTTGTACCAAATCTATATCATATGGAGGTTGCTATTAACACAAGCCAAGAAATTATTTGTACATGTAGAATTGGTACTCTAGAAAAAAAAACTACAAACCCCTTAATCTGTGAAATATGCTATAACTAACATTAATTATCAGAATCTAAAAGAAATCAGTTCCTTCCCTTCACCAATTCACTAGAAATATATTTGAGTTGAATATATTTCCTCCTGATTTCAAGTGGAATAAAGCGTGGAATAAACACGTTTCAGTAAAAAGTGGTTCAATTAACCAGAATATACCCAATATTTTAAAATGCTTTTCTAAAGATGCTCAAAGTGGCACTGTAAACACATACATGCAAACAACTGATCATATAATTAGTAACTTATATCTAAGTTCCTTATGTTTCAGATCAGCTGTTTCTAATGCTAATAAGCTGTTACCTCAGCTAATTTCCAGGCCTTTGCTTGCAAATTCACACTTGGCCTCAAGTAAGTTGTATAGATAACTATATGACAGAAACTAATTAGGTTGACGTATTCACTGAGAGTATAAGTCAATAATATCTGTGGCACATAAATGATAGGATTTAGTGTGTGTCTGGATTTAATTTGTGAAGACAGTGAAACTCCAACTGCCCATGGGCATGTGATTTTACAGCACTGGTAGTCTTTAAGTTTAAAAAAAAACTTGCTGGATCAGCCCTTAGAAAGGCCTGATAAGATATAAGAGCATATAAGGCCTAAATATTGCATATACAGTGAGTTTAGGCTTGTCTTTACTTGCTTTGCATCTACATTTTAAGGTGTGTGTGTATATACGAGAAACAGAAAAAAATCTGGAATTTTCAAGATTTAACAAACATCCTGACTTCTATGGTACACCTGTTCTCCAATGATATATTTTGTCATCTTCTAACATTATTGAGTGGTTGAAAAGCAGAAGCAGGAGCCTCACCTGCTTATGATCATTAACTGAGTTGTGGCTAGGGGGCAAGGATTAGCTGGCTCCCTCTCATACTACACTATGCTCCACCAGATCCCCTAGGCCAGCTCATATTCTATTTCCCCTTTCTCTCTTTTTCCTACAGCACACCTTGGATAACAGCATCTCAGCTCTCCCTTCAATCAAGTCTCTTATTCTTGTGCAGCTTACTAGAAACAATATTCCAGAGCATGTCAGTGACTCTTCCCAATTTACTAAAGATGAGAATTCCAGTCAGAATAGAATAGAACAGGACAGGACAGAACAGAATACTTTATTGGCCAAGTGTGATTGGACACACAAGGAATTTGTCTTGTTGTAAATACTCTCAGGTTATACTAGAATGTAAAGGAATCTGTCATTCTTGTCGTTCTTTCTTTAGTGTGTTGATGTTATATCCCATTCTGCAGGAAAGGAGCAGGAGCGAGAAGAGGAAACTATGACAATCCAAAAGCTTTCTGACATACAAAATCTCACAAGGCATTGGTTTATGTTTCTGATAGGATTGGCTATAGTACTTTTTATACTGACAGGCTTTTATAAGCAAATCTTTTGCAAGTCCCACCACTACTATGTCTGACAACAACAGGAACAGCATATGTTTGTATGGTGGGGAATAAACCTGCTAAACTTAAGGCAAGCCCCTCCCAATTATTCTACAGAAGTGGATTAAAAACCTATTACTTTAACACAGCCACTTAAGAAGTTTAAAAAAAAAACTTGTCCTTTTTAAAAAAATATTTGTATAGTAAGCTGATCTGAATAATTCAGAAGTGGGCAGAATATAACTTTTTCTAAGGAAGAGGTATAAATAAATTCTCCATACTGTATAACAAAATATCTGATGAAGCTGTTTACTATAACAATTATTTTACAGCAGAGTTGTATTAAGTCAAAAAGTGTGGATATTAATCCTCATGATTACCAGTTACTGGTAAACATATTTTCCCCACAACGGCATCTTACTGGATCTTATAATTATATACTATTCTTATTCAAAACATGAATATTTCAAGATTTTCTGACTAAGACAATAAAAATAACTTTTAATTCAGTTGGAAGAAAAAATTACAAAATTACACACTGATATAAACTAAGATATTTTGCTTTTTTCAAGCCCCTAATTGTTCAGGATATGTTAAAACATATGATGCAGTCTTGTCATTATTTTTGCCCAAAAAGTGAGATATGTATCATTACACAGAAGATTCTTATGCTGAGGTCTGTCCTGCACAGCTTTGAATTCATATATATGCTTATTTCAAATGAATGTAAAATGAACACCAATCACTGCAGCTTCAAAAACATTAACACTCATTCTGAAGGAAGGTTCCTCTTATACCTTAAAAATTAAAGGGCAGATTTGTTATTAGCATGTCAAGGAGAAAAGACACTCTATGGCAGGCTTATAATCTAAACATGTGACTCAGAAAGTAATGGTATAAAATTGATAAACAGCTGCTCACGAGTTGCTTGAAAGAATATTATTAGACCCATCACTTGACACACCCACACCTGGAGTCCTTATAAACAGAGCAACACTGACATACCCTAAACTCAGCTGAAGATGTTATCTAGGCCTGGTAATGAAATGTTTGGAAACCAACCCACAAGCTCGGAGAAGGAACCTTCACCCTTAAAAGCAAATTATTTCAGAGTGGCAAAAGGCTGAAATGATAAAAAAAAAAAGATGTGCTTATGGGACAAGATAGCAAAATCAAACTATAGAGATTCATTTAGAAGGCTAAACTCTGAACTTGAAAGGGGATGGACCACATTTAGAGAGATGCAATATTTATTTCTCATATGCACCTTGATTCTGATGCTATTTTTCTCATAACAGAACTGGAAAATAGCCTGAGGGACAACTGAAAAGTAGATAGCAGAGATTTCAGCAACATAAATAAGGAATGAAGATTTGAATACACTTGCTGCTGTGAACAGATTGCATATAGACGTAAATTTGTATGAATAAATTTAGTGGAAATATGGGAAACCTATATATTTATTTTTATATCTACATATATACACATATATATACACACACACAGAGAGAAGCCTGATGATGGCAGATAAGATTCTGCTGAAACATTGCTACAACTTTAAAAGCACAACTATAATGACTTGGGAAAATACCCGAACAAAGCTGAATACCATATATGTAAGTACCCGCGAAAACTTAATATTATATATATAGATAGATAGATAGAGAGAGAGAGAGAGCATGTATTAGATGATTGTATACAGAATTGTATTTGTTTATTGCAACATTATATTTAATTTAATTTTAACATATGCCAATCAGTGTACATTTAGTGACAATAAAGTTATTCTAAGTCTATTTTATATTTTTTTCTGTTGTTTGTTGAAAGAATTTAAAGTACTTGATATATTTTTATTATGTGTCTTTCTTTTTGGGTCTGTTTTTACTTTTTTCTACTTCTATTTCAAACACAATAAAAATTTTATGAAAAAATAATTTTATTTAGGAAAGAAAATTAAAATTAGTAGGAAAGCTTCAGTAATGCCAGTCAGGGAAAGCAACAAAAAAACTGAAATTGAATGAAGGTTGCAAATAATGCTGTTGCAAAGAAACAATACTTCACTGGAAATATGGATAAAATTACGTCTAAGTGGAGCAGTACAATAACACAGGGATGCAAGATCCAAAACAGATGCTCACGACGGAAAGAACAGAATCCTATATGGATACAACAATAGTCAAGGTTTACCATGAGAACCTTACCTTAACCCGGAATCGAATCATGGCCAGACGTACACAATGCCCCAAACAGGCAGGTGGAAGAAACCAGGCTCGAGGTGGCGGGGTACCTTTGTTGCTCACATGCCCTGCAATTAGCTGAGCTGTCTGTCTCTCAGCCTGGGCCTTCCTGGCCCACTCAGGCAACCTCTCCTTTCCAAGCCCTCCATTGAAGATGACAGCTAACTCCAGGCCACCTTGGTAGAGGCAAGCCTGTGAAAGGGCAGCCAGGTAACCCACCATGGCATTCCACTGGCCCCCACAGACCCAGTCTGTCTGGTAGCCACCGTACAGACGCTGCAAAGCAGAATCAGCATCCACCAGAAGCCGAGCTGGGCATGGTGCTGGGGGTGCCAACCCCCCTGCATGCTGGGAGTGTGGGTAACCACCAACCATGGGTGCCAGCCCCGGCGCAGCCCCGGCAGGATGGGGATAGCCGGCTGGTGGGTGGAAGGTGGTACAGTAGGCAGGACCCCCGCCTCCACGGCCCCCCACAGCCCGTGCCAGTTTCAAGAGGTCCACGGGCACCACTGCCCCCGGGCAACGCTTTTCCACGAACTCTTGGAAACCTTGCACCCCCATGGCTGTGCACCGCGGTGGGGATACGGCCCACTTCCACTGGGGCAAACAGGGAAGGCTGAGGGGCTGGCACCCCGAAACCAGGACCTGGCACAGTCCAAGCTGCTCCAGCTCCTGGGGCTTCGCTTCTTACAGTTCCCAGATCTCAGGGATGGATGCAACCGCCATGTTGTAGCTTTCTTCTTCTTCTCCTCCTCCTCCTCCTCCCTCCTCTTGCCTCCTCCTTTTCCTCAGTTTAGACGGTAGCTCACCGGGAGTTGTAGTTTTATTTTTAATCGGCTATCTATTAGTCAGCATAGAGCGGGACTACAAGTCCCGAAAGAACGCAAGAGCCGCCATGTTGAAAAGTTTTATTCAAGGTTTCCTGGCGTCGCATAGATTTATGGGGTTTGTAGTCCCATTAAAGAAAAGAGCCCCCGTCACATCGACGTAAGTGGCGGAAAAAGTACATTAAAACTACAACTCCCAAGGACTTCAGACTTCAACCATTTTTTTTTAAAAAAGAACCCGTCTTCCGTGACGTTATACGGCCACAATGCTAGGTGCGGAAGTAAAAAAAAAATGATTCCAAACAAGGCTTTGAAAATACTACAACTTCCAGCAACCTCCGCGCATTAACGTAAATCCGTCCTACATTTTTTTTTTTTTGGTCTCTGCCACGTAGGTGCCCTCTACCGCCCCTCGGGAGCATGGCATAGTTCTGCACTCGGGATGAGACCCACAGCCACCTAAGAAGGGAAAAGAACGGCAAGCTGCACAATTCGAGCTGCACCTCCGCCATATTAGCATGGCGCTTGGCATGCCGGGGGATGTAGTCTGTCACCCCTTTTCCAGGGGTTTCAGAAGGGGTTCCTCCCTCGTTGGTCCCCAGAGCGTCGTCCCGGGCGCCATGTTGAAGGGAAGAATGACATGATTTCCAGCCCTCCTCTTCGCGTCCTTTTTCTTAAAAACTTAAAGGTTTACGAATCCTCCCACGCAGTCTCGCTTACTCGAATGTAGCCGTCCCCCCCTCCCCTCCTCACTCCACCCCCGGAAGGCGGCGGAGCGGCCTGGTTTTCATCGGGAAACGAAGCTGGCGCCACCTGGCCGTGCAGAGCAGAGCGAAAAACCGCCTGGACACCAGCAGCGCCCCCTGAGCCAAGGCAGTTTTCGCTCTGCCCTGACCTCGAAATCCTTCGCCGCGGAAGGCCATTCGATCCGGCGGCACAACCAGCTCGGATCTCTCCCTCCACCCCCGGCTCCTCCGTACCAGACGACCTTGGGAATGAATGTTTCGCTTTAAAAGGTTCCAGCGAATGAAACCGGGGACGGCGCTGACGTTTTCCTAAATAACGGCTGATGTCAGAAGCGGCAGGATGTGCTCTGGTTAAATGTGAATGTTTCAACGTTCACAGCTGCTTCACTGTATTTTCATAATTATAGTAATCTTTTAATTGTGAAGGCTCCCCAAGAGTCCAGAGCTTTACCAGTATGAAAGAGAACTTTTTTTATTTAAACCACCAACCACACTATCGAAAGCGGGACTGAATTGCCAGGACCTACCAGTTATTATAGATTGTTCTCATTAGTACACCTCATGGCTTCTGACATCAATTTTAATTTATGCCTGCTTCGATCTATGTCATTATGTTCCAGCTTTTACACCATCCTTCAATTTATTCCATTTTATCCCATATTTATTATTTTTTAAAATAAATAACTCATAGTGGTGAATATACTTCCTCCTCCCCCCCCCAACAACCCTGTAAAGTGGGTTGGGCTGAATGTGAGTGACTTGCCCAAAGTCACCCAGTCCGAAGTAAATTTAAAGATTTCCTGTCTGATTTTCTTATGTATTCCTTAATGAATCTAGCCTGTTATTGGTATCCTGTATTGTTTGGTTTGACTTAGCATGTAGTGCAAACTCAAATCACTGGGGGTTGCAAACCATAACTGATTAGCATTAACAGTGAAGCGTATGTGCATTTTATTACTGTTGTGTAACTAAATTCTAGAATAATAGCCATTTAAAAATCTAGTATAAAAAAGCAAAGAAGGCTTTGCAGCACCTTAACAACAACCTTGTAAGAATGGAGAATAATCCTTGGCTAAACTACCCCACTATCACCCACTAAATCTTGCCTAGTTCATGTTGGCATCATGATAAAAGTAGTGATAAGAAGGCAAATTTTTGTTTCCTGTTTTTTTATGGCACTTTGTAAATTTGGATAAATAAGTAAAATTACACCCTTAGAAAGGTATGATTTCTGCTGCAAATATGCATTTCAGAAACACTAAATATGTTTCCTATTTTAGCAATGAAGACTAGGCATTTTTTCCCAACACAGCCTTTATTTTCCTTTGTAACAGTTTAAAAAAAATATTTGTTAATGGTTGTGTACAAATGAAGTCAACTCACAGCTTGCAAAAATAATTAAAAAAAACACATGAAAACAACTGTTGATAAAAGACATTCGTTTTCTACCATAAAGATTTAGGGCTATGTTTTTTAAAAAAAACTGAATGGGATGCCTCATCCATGTTATAATGAACAAGTCACCCACATTCTATGTTCAGTCAGAAACATCTCAGCTTTAATGCCAAATTGATGGGTTGAAAATAAGTCCTATGATGTTACATTAAGATATAATTCACATAGAGACATAAGAAAATTCCTATTTCTGAAAGTGAAACATTGCCAATGTGTGTAAATCTAAGGAGACATTTATTCACAGAATATACCTGATCATGTCATACATTAGGCCCACATGCTCCTTAGTTATTTCTAGCAAAGAATAAGGGGGAAAAAACAACAAATAGGTCTCTCTTCAAATAGGTTGCTTTTTTAAAAATAGAAAAGTCCTTTGTTGCATTAGAATTTTTAGAACCACGGCACCTCCAATGTGATCATCAAACCAACTAGTAAGTGATACTGTGTGGCCTAAATTAACCATAATAATGAGCTACAAACATCATCCTTGCTTTGGTGGAACAGAAGCTGATACCTGGAAGTAAATTAACTCCTCAGCAACTAGGAGCAAGAAAGAGTCACAGTTGTTTGCTCTATTATCCAGCTGTTCATGTACATAAGTTCATGTATAACAGAACCTGGATGTACATTTCTACAACTCAAAAATACTATTTTTCTTCCCACTTGCTGTCCTCCTGCACTTACCATCTTTTGTCAATGGAAATGAGAGAAAAAATAGCTTAATAAAATGCTGGACAGATAGCCTCAGGGGATCTGCTGGAGTTCTAAAAAAATGACACCAATTCAGACATCCACAGAGTGTTTTATAATTCATTACCTGTCACTGAGGGCTGCTTAGTATTTGGTTATGTGGATCATTTCACTACAGAAAAACCATCTGCCATGTTGTAAAATATATGGTACTTGCTATATCTGTATTCCTGTGAGAATTGGCTTCCCAACCAATACTTTATTACTCAACCAGCAAGGAAATAATGACATGAACAATTTAGGAAATGTGTCCTATAATTATTGTAATGGAAGGAACAAAACTATTAAATGACCAAATTCTTCCAGCATGCTAAATGCCATAACCACTGCTAATTTAAACTGACTCCGTTCCTTTAACTTCAAGGAGACATATTTGTATGTGCACAAAGAAGTTAGTTAAAAATATATGCTAAGACTCTTGTTCATTACAGTTTAATTCTAAGCAGCTAGTAGTAGCATCATAATATGTATTGTATATATTGGGAACAACTGTACAAATTCAACACGGTATTTGGTTCTGAGAGTTAATTATGCTGTTCAAAATTATCACAATTCTTTTTTTTTTAAGGAAAATAATAAAAATTTGATCCCCTAAAGTAAGTTTGTCTTTCTACCCTTTAGTTGTATCAGTTTTGAAAGTGAAATGTTCAACTGGACTAATAAACTGAAAATTACTACTTAAATCAACTGCTTTATCTTAAAAATGTAATCTGGAAACATGACTAGAATTTTTATAGCAATATTTCTGAGTCTGAGAATTAAAAAGGAAACTATGAGTTTATTGCCTGAATGTGGCTTCATGTTTTGTCCCCCAAATTCACTGTGTAAAGTCTCTTTGCCAGTGAAGCACATTTGATCCTTTACACTTTGCGAAGATGTGAATCCATGTTTGGTATTCTCCCTCTTGCACACATATTCTTTATGTGAGTCTTAATGTCAGCACAAATTGTAACAGTAAGGATGTATCAAGGATTAAACAGCAACCCATGTTTTTAGCATTAAATCATGCTTGAATCTAGGGCTAATGTAAACAGAAAACACAATATGCTTAGCAGAAAGGAAGGATAAAAGGAATTTGTAGTGGAACTTTTTAGACTAAACATACCACCTGGATGGTCTCTCTCCCACTGATCCATCAACTTCAGTTAAGAGCTAATACCTAAGAAAATTTGTCTGCAATCCTTCCAATCAATCGGCATAAGAAATTCTTTTCTAAAGAAAATCTTGTTTTTCCCACTTAAATGGTGGTACCTTGGGTAATGGAAGACGGATGAGGCAGTTGGTCATACTCCTTGCTAAGTTGCAGTTGAAATATAAGTAGGAAAAAATGCATGGAGCTGTTCTTTTTATTCATCTGTCATTATGTTATACTCAAGTTGATGGATAAACTTGTGAAATCTTCTTTGTGAACATTAAACATCCTCCTTAAAACAGTAAACAGAATGAGCTCTTGGGCCAAGTTACAAAAAAAAAAAAGGGGGGGGGGTGAAAAGAAAAAGCATGTGTCAAAACAGTATCCAATTTAAACAGACAGAAACAGTAGAACATTGTTTATGCCACAGCCTAGATTTAAACAGCACTAACAAATGAGGTAGGTAAGAAACATGAAATTTCAACAAAGAAAACAATTCAGTTTGAACACTACTAAAAATTCACAAAATTATTAAAATTATACATTCCATTCATATCATACAAGCTCCAGCTCAAGCTTCACAGCAGAAAAGTGCCTTCCAAAACATCCCCCAAAACCAAATTCACAGTTTGATTTCTTTTAAAGAGGGTGCATACTTCAAAGAGAAACACAATGAAAAAGCAACAGGGAAGAGAAGAAAAACTGGGCAGTAAATGTTTCACATTAAATGCAGAGACTCAAAATTATATAAACATAGTAAGTATGTAAGTTTCCTCCATTGCCGGTGCCTTTACATAGCTTCAAAGAAGAGGGCAATCCAATTTTTCTCATCTTTTCCTCAAACCTAAAGATATAATACTAATACCGGTATTGCCTGTGCTTACATAGTTTACATACATATAGTGTTTCAAAAACCTTTGAAATCAAAGCGTCTGAGTCTTTTGGGGCAGAGTAAATTACTATCCACATCACAGTTAACACATTGGCCATGTCACATTCTCTGAACTCTGGCCACTGAAGACAGGAAGTAAACTTTATAAAAAGATGCCATTCCACATCTCTTCCCCACTCCCCCAGCGTAACACAATCTCATTATGCTTTTCCACTTGAAAAGAAGAAACTCAGCACATATGTTAGATCATGTATTCTATATTGGTAAGGCTTATGAAAATAATAAGCAGGGAAAGTATGAACATTGTTATCAATGGCAACCACTTAGCATCTAATTCCAGCTTAAATTGAAATCACAGATACACGTGGTACTGTTTTGAATAAATTTGGCATCAAATTGTCAAGTTACTTCATGAATATCATTTTCATTCTCTTATCAGTAGAAAGATAAGCCACATAAGGATTTCCCAACTCCTCAAAGCTTCAAAGAAAGCCTCCTCTCAACTGTAGAACAGTGGATTCTTTGTGGGACTTCTAATTAAAGCAAAAGGAAGAAAAGATTAAATGCAAAATCTGTATCTAAGTTTTACTTAAGAGGCATTTCCTTCACGCAACCCTTGTTATCCACATACAGAAAATAGGAATCTGGTCTGTTCTCATTGTTTGCAAAATGAGTATTATGCCAAATTGCTGCTTAATTTCAGTACCAAGTTATTTCTGAATTCCACCCAAGAAGGGGCATGTAAATCTGACAGTTAATCCGTGTAAATTCAGGTTTGTTTTCCCTTGCCTACTGTTGTTTATTTGTACACTTTCCTGATATTAAAAAGTCCCAGGCTCCATACTTCAAATAGTATAAGCAGGATTTTAATTTTTTGTGTAGCCTAATTTGACCTAAATGAGGTATTTTCAGGGGTATTCTGTTTTATTATAAATGAAGGGGTTTACTGTTTCACACAGTAAACTAAAATAAAGCCTCATGTTTGCACTTGTGATGTCTACATTTTCTAAATAAAGAAGCAATATATATTGTAATCCTCAACTGAGACAAGCTACATCAGATTATGAGTTATGTCAATTCTACATGAAAATCAGTAATTGAATTAGAAGCAGCATAGGCAAGGCAAGAGGTACACAATTTTTCTCTTCAAAATTGCTTTTTGCAAGTGGGAATATCCTGGTTTTAAAATTCCACCAAGAGAAAAGCAGCAAGGAGAGGCTATTTTATGAAGGAGGAAAGGTAGAAATTCAATGTATACACAGCACTTTAAACTGACCCTGTCCTCATTCTACAGAAAATCAGCAGAAATGTAACCCTGATATATAGAACTGGTATTGTTACACTGGTTTTCCTCCAACACTGAAGTACACTCTACGGTTTAGTCAATAATCAGGATTGCACAAATGCACCAGTGTTACACCACATTTCCACTTCATAACAGAAACACAATTCATATATTTGTGTGCCTGAGAGAGCTAAATGGGCCAGGGATCCTTCATATAGATAAATCAACCTTTAAGGCCACCATGGGTACTTGGTGGCTTGCATTTTTATGAAGATTAAGTTACATAACAGCAAACTAGAATACAGCATTTTATGCTTTCCTACAAGTCAAAGTGAATTGCTGACAAAGAATTTATTTTAAAGACTTTAAAGTGGAAAAATATTAAAAGATGGAAGCAAATGTCATGCAATCAGCTGTCTGCTCACTTTGTACCCCCCTCCTTCCTTATGGAGCAGATTATAAAGGCACAGATGGGGCTGTAGGAAGAGGCACAATCATCTCTCAACTGCTCTGTGAGTGGAAACTGTTTCTGCTCATGGAAATGCACTACTGATTTTCGCACAAATCATAAGTATGTCTTTAAAAAAAACCAATAACACTGTTCTTGTCTAAGTTCTTCAAAGTGAAACTTTCTTTAAGGTATATGATTTTACTGCTGCAAATCAGCAATGTACTTTTCAAGAATCAAAAGGCTATAACTATTTTTTTTCAACTTTCCAGTAAAACTCTGAAAAGATACTAAGGTTATCCATTACAAGGCACTGCAAATCTTTGCAGGCAGAACAAAGAGGCTACATTAAACAATGGAAGCAGAATCTTTGTCCAGAATGCAGAAGGGAGAAATATAGTCTTATATCACTAAACTACAGGTGCTGTTTTACAAAACAAAAAAACAAGTAACTGGTGTCTGAAACATTTAAATAACAGCAACTCAGATATTCCTGGCCACAGTACTATTAAACCAATGGTACATTAATTTTGGATGTAAGCATGGTCTTTTAGATAAAATTCAACTACTTGAAGTTTAAATACTTTGTCTTAGTTTTAATGAAATTAAGCCTCCTTCTATCACTTGCTCAAATATTAGACAGCTGCAAATATGGCAGCTATATTATAATATCCAAAAGATAATAACTTAAGTCAGAATTTTAAATTAAGCGTAGCAATTTTCATTATAGATTAATGAAGGGGGAAGTGAGCTAGATGTTATTTCAGCAAGTGCTTGAAAGACTTGCAACAAAAGAAGCAATTTCTGAGTGCACATAAGAATACGATTTCCAACAAGAAAGGAATAAACTGATTATGTATTAGAGAAAACAAGGAATGTTAGCTCCAGTGAATTATGACCTCCCTCATACTTCACAGCCAATTAAGTTAAACATGTACCATTAAACTAAGCGAATTCTCTATCAAGGTGAAAGCATAACAGCAATCTTCACATGGGCAGCTGAAATGCAGTTGATAAAATTAATGATTATATGAAATATATACCTCCAAGGGAGGATGCCTCTTTATTTAGCAAATTTTTTATATCTTTTAAGGATTTTGAACTGGTAAATTTTAGACTTTTCTTTACATGACATCCAATTAGCAGCACTAAAAAACAGAAAGCCTGGCCAATGGGATTCCATCACCACATCCTTACTGCCATATATACCTGTAGAATTTTCTTAATCTGTAAATGTAAAGATGGACTGCTTAATCGTGCACCTTGGTAATTAAATTCAGTAGATACTAAAACCTTTAATGCTCTTGAGAAACAACACTAGGCATCTAAACTAGGAGACTGTATTTCACTAATCTGCTGTAAGGCAATCCATTAAATGCAAAAACTATGTGCACTAGACCCTGTTTCAATTTATAATCATTTTCCAACAACCAAAGGAATGCTGAATATGGATCACAAATGATGTGAAAATGACCAAGATGGGACAAGTTTAAAAAAAAGGCCCACAATAATCCCCCAGCCCTAGTTCCCACCCTTTCCAATGCTACCTCCTCCCCCCACTACCCATTCCATAATATAAGATTTGTATCAGCTGCAAAATAAGCTTTAAAAAAAAGAATCCCAAACACAGGTACAATAAACCAGGCCAACATTCCAATGTATCTACTGAATACAGTGTGTGTAAGGACATCTAGTTGCATTCTACAAATAGTTCTGAATTGTCCAGGACAGTTTTCCCAAATCAAAGAGAAGGCAGCAACTGTATGCCTCTTCTTTCAGCAATGCTTCACTTCCAAAAGGCCTATCTCTGGGACAGAGGAAGGAAGAGTTTACGATAGAATTCAACTAAACAAACTACAATCTTTTTTTTTTTAATCCTTAGTTAGCCTGTAGTCTGAGCTGCCAATGAAACTAAGAGGAAACATAACGATAATGCAAATATAAATGTCACTCTTCTTTGCTGGTCCCTTCCATTCTGTAAATGAATTCAAATGCTAGTAAGTGTATAATCCAAGTAGAGTTACTACCAAGTTCAAAAAAACAGTTGTCACAAAAGCAAACAAGGGATATGGGGCAGGAATGACAGGGAAGGCTTATTAATAAGCAGCCTATGGCAGGCTGTCCATCTCAGGAACAAAGAGATGTACAGGCCAAAGCTCTCTCAAGTACTTAAAAAATCCCCTAAAGAAAATGAAATCAAGTATTCAAAGAGGAGAATGCAAAGACAATCTCCTACCATTCCCACATCACTGCACTGGGGAATTCACGCCCCAAATCCAGGCAGCAGAATGCAAGGCAGAGGAATGGAGTCATGAGAGATAGGCACAGTCCCCATTATCTAGCATTCTTTTGCTATCCATCTTCATTTGGGACTTGGGGGAATGGGAGCTGGGTTTTGCACGGGTGATGCTGGAAATGCTGGCATGCTGATCCCTGGTTGAAAGGGTCCCACTGTCTGGGCAGGGACCACGACAGATTGTTGAGTTGTCCCAGAAATGCCCATCCATTGCACTGGGTAAGTTGTTCCTGCGATGGTGTTATACTGGCACAAATGTGGTATTCCATATGGCGATAGTGTGCCAGAAAAGGGTGACAGGGGAAGTCCTTGGGGTAAAGCAGCTGGTACAGTCCCGCGGATCTGGGAAAGTGAGGAAATCCATGTGGAGGTGTAGCCCACAGTAGATGTTGTTGTCTTAAACACAAGGGAAAACAGAAACTATTTTAAATGCAAGGAAACATACTCAACAGCTGCCTGTGGCACATCTTTGTGATTTTAAACAGTACAGTATCTGCTAACAGAAAAGAATGGAAGAGGATTGAAGATGCAGTGAAAGGTGCACACATTTGAACAAACATTACCACGTAGTGGAGATTTTCACTTTCAGCTTCTAATATCCTAGTAACACTACTTCCTTTCTAAGTATCTGCTCCCAGCTCACCAATCCCAGAGCTATCCATAACATAAGTCTGTGTGCAAGACTGCTGCTTTCCAATATCATTCATGTAGGGCACCTGGACTTTAAACAGAGACAATGTACTCAGAAATAATAATAATAATAATAATAGTAATAATAATCTCCTACTGGTTGTGATCTATTCAGCAAATCACATAAAACCGAAAAATCTGGCTGAATCAGAGTTATTCCAGCATTGCCCCCCCCACCCCCCAGTGATCTACCAGATGTTTTTGGAAAGTTGAAATGCAGATATAGGCACAATAACGTCCTCTTTTATGTCCCCCTGCCATTGAGTTATATTAGATGTGAAACTGTGAAGAATATATAACCTTAGCAATCTATAGGACTGAACTGATCAAATACATTGGTGGTGAAAAATAGCAACCTATTTTAGCTTAGAATGGATTGTCTGCCATTTATGAGAAAACTTCAGAAAATACAGATAGTGAAAATAGTTTAATCAAAGGGATATGTGACAGGTCTAAAAATACCCCATCAGGACAATGACTTTAGTTTACCTTAAAATTATCAGAGAAAAAATTGAACCCTTTAGAATTAACCATAATCATGTAATAATGTGACCCAAGATTCATCTACCTATTAATAGAGTTTAGTTAAATAGACCACATACAAAATAGTGTTGTTGCTTTACATTGTGCTTCAATACATTAAAGCAACACTCACCATTTTCCTTAGGAAAACGCGTGTTTTCCATTTATTAATGGAATGGTGGTACTTCGTATGTATCGACTCCAAACAAATGTTTTCTGTGCCTCTTGATCAATTTTGCATATTTACTTGAAGGTATTTGGAAGCTGAACAACTTCAGGTCATGCCACAAAATTTCACAAACTGTTTTGGCTACTCTAAAACACTTATCATTCTGTGGTAGATTTTACTTGTGAGTTCCTAATTCTAGTTATAAAAGAAATTCATCTACAATTAGATGAAGATCAAATTATACTGTAGGTAATCAACAGTGCAAGTTTACACTGAAGGGTATCTATTATAGCCAATACCCTACCACACGGGTGTCAATTCGCAGCGTTACATTGCAGTCGTGTGATGTATCGCAATGTTTTTTCCCTTGGCAGAGCTGGGATAGGCGTGGCCTGCATGTGATGCATCCAGCCCACGGGCTGCTAGTTTGACACTCCTGGCCTACCAGGCTCCTTTGAATTAGGGGAGGATAATTGCAATGTCCAGATTTCCCTTTGACTGCAGCGGTTGGGAATTTGGGAAGTTACAAACCCAGCACATCTGGAAGGTACCAGATTGAGAAAGGTGAATCTAATACATCACAAATTCTAAACCTTGTATGTAAAGACCTCTTACCTCATATACTTTGCTCCAGCTGTCAGTATCCAGCCGGTGCTTGTTCTGTTTGATTTGATTGAGGCTTGGCTTGATAAGGGAATTTCCCACCTTTTCTTTAGTCCAGTCATCCACTAGTTTATGCAAATCATCCGTGAACATTCCTTTTTTACTGGCTGTTGTCTGCTGACAAGAGGCAGTGCTACTCACGATGCAGAGTTGTTCTAAGAAGGAGCAAGGTTTTAGAAGGTATTCTTCAAGTAGTTGTATCAAAACATTGAACCTGGGTGACAAGCAACTTCCGAGTCTTGCAAACCATTCTTGCCCTATTTGTGGTCTGGAAAAGATCTTCCAGTATCATGTTGTCATCCAAAGAGGTGGGGCTGAACATATTTGCCCATTTTTTATTTTATTTGGGGTGACAAGACTGGGTGGTTTTAAGGGAGGGAAGGAAAGCATTTAATCTCCTCAAAGTCTTGCACTTCCATCCTTAAAACTTCCCCAAATCCCCCAAAGCCAATATCATACAAGCAAAAATCAGCCACTTTGCCAACCAATTTCAGCTACGTAATCTGTCATGATGGGGACCTATATGCAGATTCTTCCTATCCATGTATTTTATTCTTGTTTAATCATTAATACTTATAGGCTGCCTCAGACACAGTGGGGACTTTACAAAGTAACGTACAAAGTAGAAGAAGCAGGAGTATAACAGTGTATCTATTAAAGTATTCAAATATCTGTGACGTATTTCTATGTGAGAAGGACAAGGGAAATGACAATAAGAGAACAAGTTTAGCATCTGAATTGTCCTTGAATATTTGCAAATACCTTGGTTAGTTTCTGCTTGTGAACAGCTTTGATGCAGCAAATGGGCTTGAATGCTCAACTGATAATCAATCACAGAGGCAGCGGTGGTTGCACAACAGCATTCTAGGCGGCAGAGAAGAGAGAGACAAACAATCAGAAGCATCTAAAATAGCATTTGCAGTAGGCTGGCTGTGGGGATGATAATGAAGGCATGGATTGCATTCAGAATCAATATGCTGAAATCTGTTTAGGAAAATTAGGTTGAAAACAGTCTTAGTTCATTGGAGGGAAAAGGACAGAAAGTCTTAAAAGTGTTTTGAGTTGGCAGACATAACCTTTACAAACAATATGAAATCCTAGGGATTCATCCAGAGACTAGTGAATTCAACTTTTTTGTTCTGAATTAGGAAACCCCTGGCCAATCCTCAAAAAGGCCCCTAGCTTTGTGTATGGCTCCCACTAGCATTTCCTTACCAGCAGCAACAATGCCATTGTCGACATGAGAGTGAGATTGTGGCCGGCTGCGCAGCTTGCTTCTGAAAGATTTAGGCCGCCGTGGGGATGACAGTTGCAGGGAGATGTCAGAGGATTCTGACCTGCTATCTTTGATGGAGCGGAGACGTTCATATAGCTCCTGCAACTCCCTGTTCTGTTGAGCTTGCAGACTGACTACTTCCTGGATGTGCCTTCATGGAAACAGAGGAAAAGAAGAAAACCTTGGCAAGACGTAAATTCTCAGGGATTCTTTCACCTCAATAGTCACCTCCCACTGGAAAGCAGGGAGCATGAAACTATGTGGCTCAGGCCGACGGCCTCTTTACTACTCTCAGCTTGCTTGCTCAAGATGTGAGGGAGAGATGTTTCATGACATACTACTTCATGGGATGAGACCACCACCTGGAGGCAGGAATGCCGGAGAAGGGATCCCAATCAGTGCTCTGACTTGCTCTGGGGAAACAGCACTTCTCCCCTTTCCCACTATGATATTTTAAGAACCTTCATCAAATGCTTTATTTTAAGAACCTTCATCAAATCAGAAGGGAACTTTTTTTTTTTCCATATGTGGAGGACTTGTGAAAGTGGTACCTTACTGGAAGACAACATTCAAAGAGGTCAGAATAAGAAGTAAGCAAAAGTAAAAGGTATTCTAGAAAAGGGATTATTACTTAGAATTGCTAGGTTGGCAGGAGCTGGGGCAAGAATGGGAGTTTACCTCGTGGGTCTCAAACCATTGACCAGAAGGTGGGCAGTTTGAGACCCAAATACTGCATGATGGAGTGAGCTCCCATTCTTGCCCCAGCTCCTGCCAATAGAGCAGTTCAAAAGCATGCATATGCAAGTAGATAAATAGGTACCACTTTGGTGAGAAAGTAACAGTGTTCCATGTGCCTCAGTGTATCGTCATGCTGGCCACATTACCACAGAAGTGTTTTCGGACAATGCTAACTCCCTTGGCTAGAAAATGGAGGTGAGCACCACCCTAGAGTCAGACATGAGTGTGCAAGGGAAACCTTTACCTTTATCTTTTACCAGGGAGTTAACTCAGTCTCCAGGCAGAATGGCATGTGTCAACCCAGCTATGGATTCTCCAATCGTTGTGCTGGAGAATAACTGATGTGCAAAAGTATGCTCAATTTGTCTTATGGAAAAACTGATGAAATTAAAACAATGACTTTTCAAAGGAATGAATCACATTTTTATCAGATCTGGAAAGATTATATAAGCTATGCTCATAATAATAACTTTTCTACTGTTAAATTGAATATTATATGTAACCTATGATTGAATGTTGACATATACCTATATTGTTATGTGCTGTTAAGCTTGTATTCTTGTTCCTTCTTGCCTCACAGAATATTACAAATCTAAGCGTCCTTGTGTGTAATAAGCAAGTTGTATCTCCAAGTTATGGCACTTTTTGCAGTCTATCTGAAGGAATAGAAATGCCTCATAGTATCTCTTCTCTTAGCTCTGACAATGAATAAAGATAAGGTAAAGGTTTTCTCTGTCCAGTCATGTCTGACTCTAGGGGGCGGTGCTCATGTCTGTTTCTTAGCCAAGGAAGCCAGCATTGCCTGAAGACACTTCTGTGGTCATATGGCCATCGTGATTACATGCCAAGGCACATGGAACACTGTTACCTTCCCACCAAAGTACCTATTTATCTACTTGCATTTGCATGCTTTCAAACTGCTAGGTGGACAGGAGCTGGGGCAAGTAATGGGAACTTACCCCATTGTATAGTGCTTGGGTCTTGAACCTGGGCTGCCAGCTTTCCAGTTGACAAGCTCAGTGTCTTTAACCACTGAGGCATCATGTCCCCAGGACAATGGACAGGAGCAGCCCACTGTGTGGTTTCAAAATCCAGGAGCTTCCTCTGTATTACCTGCTGCAAGGCATTTCTTGCACAATAGTGCAAGAATAATGGAATCCCCTGGGAGAAAAAATGGATTGGCTTTGTATCTATGATACCATCATCATGGTCACGAGTAGTGAGCATCCTGTGGTAATTTCAGTTATGTTGAGAACTGGTTGGGTTTTTTTTTTTTTGCTCTATTCTGTTCTTTTTTTAAGCAAAGGATTTACTGTTCTGTTTTAGGTGGAAAAATATAAGTTATGGAGCTAATGTGCCAGTGTAGTCATAGATTATTTCTTCCTTTGTAGTATTGAATGGGTCCAATTAGATGCTGTAACCAGGGATGCAATACTGAACTCACTTATTACACTGATGTCATCTTGTGATTTATTAAAAAGACATTTCCAGTTTGAGTGATTAAAGTTATTTGTAAGAAATACTCCATGGCTGACAAGTTTCCCCACAGAAAAGTAACTTTCACACAGAATGAAATTATACTACTAAAGATGTACTTTGTCTTGATGCACAGGTACCATTTAAAAATAATGTTTTTCCTTTTAAATGTACTGATTCATTTATGTGCAAAAGTATGTAAACTCAGTTGTGCAATTATGTGCAAATTTATGTAAATTCAGTTGACTAATTGATGTATAACTTATGGCTGACCATTGAATGCAGATAGCTCCATGCTGACAGATAATTAATAATAAATGATAATTGAGAACAAAAAGAATCATTTCAGACTAATAAAATAAAGCTTTATCAGATAAAGTCTATCCCCGAAACAGAAACCACAATTAATATCTTAACGGAGCAAAAAATATAATTGTCCCATATCCCACTCTTTTCACAACCTAGTATTTTACTGACACAATGCAAATCTTTATAGTATAAGACTCAATCTTAGTGCCCTTACTTTTCCCGCAAACGCTGTAGCTCCAATTTCAGGTCCTCATCTTCAATTTCAGATTCATCATCACTGCTCATTGGAGAAGATGCTGAATAAAAGAGAGAGCTACGCCTCTTTGGGTAGGTGCCGCCCCTTTCCTCTTGAGACTGCTGGTTTGACTCCCAGCCTTCTAGGCTGCCACCACCCATGGGTGCAGAAAGTTCACTGTCAGAGCTAGGCTGCTTCTGGATCACATCACCTTTAGACCATGGCTCTGAGCAGGACTGCATGCTGCTTGCAGTTGCAGAGGTCTCCTCCACTTCTGGTTGTTCAGAGGTGGTGCAACATGCATCTGTTTCCCCCATGGCACTGGGAAAGATAGCCATTTCTGTTCCTGTGAGACAGCCTTCTTCTGTTCCAAGCTCCAAGGAAGGAGACATCTCAGAGAGTTCACTTTCTGAAATACCTGAGGACAACTGTTGTGGAACTGTGATGACCTGAGGGGGTGGGGGATAGAGAAGAGAGGAAGGTTTAATTCAGTAGAGTTTTACAAAAATGAAGCTTAAAATGAGCTACACTATTGAAAAAGATTTGAGATTCACGGGGCATAAATAACATATTCATTTCATTATGCATATTTAAAGAGTTACTTGTCTTATGTTATTTAATCATCTGTCCCTTGGTAGGTGGAATTAAAAGGAACTAAGAATGAGTAGAAAGTTCAAAGAGACAGATATTAAATGAATAGCCATATATTGAAAATAATGTAAATCAAAGTTAAAAAATTTAAGTAAAAGATTACAAACATACTATATTCAACATTTATTGTTCATCAAGACATTAAATATATTTTCATAAGAAGCTGATGAATGCATCTGACAGTTTGAACAAGAGAAGAAATATATTCCATTCAAAAAATGGAAAAGCAGTGTGATGGACTATGTTAGCACAGACTGGAACTACAATTATATAAACCACATTTGATTCTATAACCAAAAAGCGATTCAAGAAAAAGAAAGAAAGAAAAGGAAAAAAAAACCATGTTACATGACCCTGTAAAATATGTAGGAGTATTAGCTTCCGGTTTGCAACCTTTCGGCGGCGGCAGGAATTCGCGACCACACGATCCCTGCTGCGTTCACTGTCAAGGTTCCCCCGATCCATTTGGATCTGGGGGATATAGCTGCCCCGTAGAGGCAGCTGAAGACAGGGGGGATCCGGCAAAAGGTTTGGGGGTGTCGCAAACCCCCTCCCCAGCCGGCTAAACCCCCTTTTCCCGAGGCGGAGGAACGGCGGTCAGCAATGGCCGCCACGAAGAAAGTTGCAGCCGGACAAGCAGGTGCAGGAGGGAGGAAGCTGAAAGAAAAGTGAAAGTTGATTCTAACCGGGACAAGACGGGAGAAAATGACCTGGAATCTTGAAGGCTGCTAAGTATATATTGTTCCCTGTGAGAGTTTTTAAGCTGCGAATATTCTAAAGGGGAAAGTTTTTTCTTTGTTCTACTCTCCTTCCTAAAGTGACAGCGGAAAAAAAACAAAACTTTTTGGCTGTGAGTGGGAAGGGAGAGTGAAAAAAAGAATTAGAGCAAAATTTGAAAATAAGGAGAAGATTGCCTAGAATTACAAAGAGTTTAAAAACTTCCAAAAAATATATTTGAAAAGGATTTGTGATTACTTTAACCCCAGAAAGAGAAAGTGAAGAAGAAGAAGATATCTAAAAGAAATAGTCTGTTTGGATTGTTTGGTGACTTTGGAACCTTTGGAAATTACTTCTGATTAAATCATCTGGGTGGTTGTTTGGAAAAACTTTTTCTCTACACAATGGCATCATCTATGGATGAATTGGAACTTATAAATCAAAAATTTGAAAGAGAAAAACAAGGAGGGGAAGATGGTCTTGACACTATTTTTCAATACTTGGAAATGGCGGTTTATATTTATGTGAAGCAGAATGAGGATGATGGGGATAAAGAAGAAGGAGAAGCCATCTTTGATGAACAAATTACTTTGACTGGAGAAGAGAAAAAGCAAGAGAAAAAGGGAAAAAGGTCTTTAAGATCTGGAAAAATAGCCCAAAAAGAGAAGAATAAGGTGAAAAGGGGACATTATGTTAAGAAACAACAGAAAGGGGGAAAGCAGAATAAAAGGGAGGTGGAGAGACAAGGGGTTAAAGAGGATAAGGAGAAGAAGAAACAAGAAAGAAAGGAAGGGATGAGAAGTCCTAATGGTGGGGAGCAAGATGTTAAGAAGCAATTTTTTTTTAGAGATAATGGATAAGCTTTATGGTTAAAGGGATTCTAGAAAGGTACCGTATTTGCCGGCGTATAAGACGACTTTTTTGCCCCGAAAAACATGCCTCCAAGTGGGGGGGTCGTCTTATACGCCGGTATATCCACTGCCGGCTTTCGGAGGCTTGTTGGACGCAGCGAAGGCGCCTCTGGCTTCCCGGATCCCCTGCGTCGCTTCCGCTTCATCCCGCTCGCCTCGCTCCGCCCGAGGCTGCAGCCTTACTGCTCTTCCCACGGCCCCTGGCACTCTGCCCTGCCGCTGCAGCCCCGGGGATTTCTGGAGGGCGTTTCCGGTGGTGGTGGGGGGTCGTCTTATACGCCGGGTCGTCTTATACGCCGGCAAATACGGTACATAAGACTGCATTTTTATACTTGTATTTAGAAGTAAACATAGAAAATTAGAAACAATATGTAACCTAAAATGTGATAAAATATTTAACATAAATTAGTGAAATTTTTGGTTAAGAAAAGGGAGTACTGTAACGAAACATGATTTAAGATTGTGATGTGGGGAGGGGGGGGGGGAAATAGCATAAGTGTTCCCACAAAGGCATGATATTTAATTGAAATGGATAAAATGTTTAAGATATAAATGATTGTTAATATTAATGATTAGAATATGGTATACTAGCGAAATTTCTTGAGAAATGAGAATTGAAGTAGAAGAAGGAGGTACTTTTTAATGAAATAATGAGCTATAATATATGATGAGGGATATAATATATAACTATGGAAAATAGGGCTCCCATAAAAGTATGTGATTTAATTGAAAAGTAATGGTTTAAATGTTTAAGATATGAATGAATATTAATACTAATGAATAGATTTGTATTATTTTTGATAATATAGTATAATTTTAGAATGTACCAGACAGAATCCCAATATATGTCATGTGTTTTATATTAAGTATTATAAATGTAGGGGAAAGAGATAAAGGCATCATGCTCCCATATAGTGTAAAGGAGAAGTTTTTTCTTTTTTTTAAATAAGGAAAATAAAGGGCTGGCTGGAATAGAACAGACAAAGAATAATAAATATTATGATATGAATTGAGAGGAGATAAATAAAATAAAATAAAATTGAGAAAATTTAAAGGAGAGGAGAAGACATATAGAAAACTGAAAATGTTAATAAGATATGAAATGGTATGTAAAATGAATATGAATTTGAATTTGTGTCTGTACCAAGAGTTTTAACCCGGGACTAATCAACTTTCAGATAAGAGATTTTTTATGCTTTTATGTTTTGTTTTATGTGTATCTATGTATTGTTTGTCTTGAAAATAAAACTTGTTTTAAAAAAAAAATATGTATGAGGATTAGACCACAAAGAAGAAAAAGCTACAGAGTGTAATAATTTTTAAAAACATTACACTATAATCTTTTATATATTCCTTTATAAAATGCATTTAATTCATCAATATATTCTATAAAGCCTGCCCCCAAAAGCCTTCAAACTGCAGATAAACTATCTGTACTATGTAATGAAGAAGCAATTGTTTTCTGCAATAGACTGAGGAAGGAGGAAGGAGGAAGAGAAAAAAATTACTTAGAGCAATTTAGAGCCCAAAGACCATGTAATACACATCTGAATGCCATTTGTCCTCAAAGAGATACTGATGACAGTAAAATGCCACTGCAGCAAAGAACAGAAAGAGTTGCACAGAAAATGATTGCAAAAAATGAAAAACAGGAAATGGGAAATAAAAAAGTCAAGTACTACCCTTAGCAACAAAAATTCTGGTCCCAACTGTGGTTGTAAATTGAGGACTTTCTGTTCATTAGAATTATATATGAAATATCTAAGCCAGTTCTGTAATTTTCCAGAAAGACTTTCAAATAGATGATTTCCCCAGTTGCCAAAACAAATTAATGGTCCAGTGTTTAACTCTACACAAAGCATTATAGAAGTCTCCTGATTTACTTTGTGGATGATAAAAAAGGGATTACACCTGAGTAATATAATCTGGGTATAAGTACTCAATTGACAAATACATTGGACAGCAGGAAGAAATAAAGTATTTATTTGCATAGCTTTCTTGAATTTCAAATAATTTCAGTTGCAAGAACATAAGGCACAATGGAGACATAAATCTGCTCCAGCATATTTATTAGTGGTCCTCGACTTACAATCACAATTGGGACTGGAACTTCGGTCACTAAGCAATGTGGTTGTTGAGTTACACCTGATTTTACAACCTTTTGTGCCATGCCTCATTAAGCAAATCTAGCTCCCTTCAATTGACTTTGCCTCTGACTCTAGGATGCTGCAACTGTCATAAATACATGCCAGTTGCCAAGCACCCAAAATTTGATCATGTGACCAGCTCCACAGTCATAAGTGCAAGGGCCATCTGTCAGCCACTTTTTTCAGCATCATCGTAACTTCGCACAGTCGTTAAATGAATGGTGGTAAATTAAGGACTACTTGTATAGCCATCATTTTTCTTCCTTCTTTATTTTCTTGTTGGAGCTAACTACGATGCAGCATTACATCTTCACTTAACCATGATTAAGTTCATGGTTAAAATTGATTAGTAGTATAGGGCTAATTTATCCAGGAAATTTTGATGAAGATTTAACAAAGTTTTATTCCAAAAATAACGGGGGGAAGGAGGAGTAAGCAGCATAAAGAAGTTACAAAACATGTCATAAATTTCTAAATTTTAAAAGACGACAATTCTATATTTAATAGGCCCCTTACTAAAATATTAGGCAGAAAAAAATCTCTTCTTGAACCTCTCAGCTTTTGATACCATCCATCACAGTATCCTTCTGGACCAGCTTCAGCAGGTTGAAAGTGGGCAGCACAGTGATGCTGGCTCTCCTTTTTCCTTCAGGGTTGGTTCCAGTGCTATTGAGGGGTGAGGGGAGAGATACGGCCTGTGGCCCCTTTTGTAAGGTGCTGCAGGGCTCAATTCTCTCTCCTCTCCTAAAAATCTACATAGAGGGTAATCCAAAAGTTCAGGCTGAGGGATCAAATGCAACCCAGCTTTATATTTCCACCCTGGCTTATCGGAGTGATGCCATTAATATTCTCAGTGGTTTATGGGTATAGATGAGGAACAAGAGGCTTCAACTCAACTCTAGGAAGACCAAATGGCTCTAGGTTTTAGGAACCACTGGTTCTGAGGGCCTCCCATTTTTAGTTCTGAATGAGACTGCAAAACTTCAGATGGAATCTGTGAACAATTTAGGAATTCTCTGGGATTCCTGGCTCCTGCTCTAAGAACAGGCAGGCATAAATGGAAAGGCTTTTCCACAATTATATTCTGTACACCAATTACATCCATTTCTGGACTGGGAGGTTCTGCTTATAATAATTCATGCCTTGGTCACTTCCCAATGGGACTGTGCATTATTACACGGGGCTGTCCTTGAAGAAGCTTCAAGTGGTACCGAATACAGCAGCACAAGTAGCGATAGCTGCCTTTCATTTCATGCATGTGACACCTCTGTTTTGCAGACTGCATTGGTTATCATTATGCTTCCAAATTCAATTCAATTCACGCTTCTGGTAGTTATCTATATAGCTAGATATTGGGCTGAGTTACTTACAGAACTGTCTCCTCTTTTCCAGGATCTATCTATCCTGTTAGATCTGGTAGGAGAGGCAAGCCCTGGGTCCCATCTATTAGGAAATGTTACCTGGCGGGGCTCAGGAAGTCTTTTCTTCTGTGGCACCTACCCTCTGGACCCTCATTCCCATGGAGACCAGACTTGCCCTGACCCTATTGGCTTTTGTGAGGCCTTGAAGACCTGACTTTGTAACCAAGCTTGGGGCTCTGATTTTGTATTTGAGTCCATATCATGGCTCTGTTAAATGCTATTGTTTGGCTTTTTATCTTTGCTGCTGTGTTGATATGTCCATATATGGATCTATTACTCTGTTATAATGTTTTTTAATCTTATTTTTATTCATTGTTAGCCATCCAGAGCCATGTATTTGAAATGGCCAGCCATATAAATTGAAGAAATAAGTAAACATTATCCGACTTAACTATTTTGCTATAAGTAAATAAACAAGTTGTAATATAAACTGGAGTTCGTTCAAGCAATGTTTATTTCTACACAAAATCCATTTGCAGGCAGAAATTTGCATGAATCATACACACATGCACACACACACAACACACACTCATTCCCTGGAAGATATCATTAAAGTGTATTGCATTAAAACTAAGGACCAGTTTCAAAGTCAAATTTTTCTTTGTCTGCAAAGCCAATTGACAAAGACTTGGAGAAACTAGGACCCTATTTTCTGAAATAGATTGAGGTAGAGTAAGATACAATCACTAATCCCTTTTTTCCTATCAGATTTCAATAATTAGAAGTTGACTCATTAACTCACATAAAACAGTTTTCAGGTGTAAAATCTGCACGCAAAAGAATTTTTTACTGGTTAAACAGAGTGAGATTTCATTAATCTTGGCATTATTTATAATTTGGAACCAAAAGAACAGACTTCTATTTTCTTAGCATCACACACAGGTATCCACAGAATCCAATGCTTTTGATAAAATGATATAAATAGTATCACAATGTGGAAAGGCAAATGATCAAAGCAGTGCAAGCTTGGCCCTTTTATACATACATCCAGCATCACAGTACACGTACAACAGGAGCAGAGCTTATGGTGTGATTGCATTATCTTATTTTTGTCATTTGCCTTCCAAAGTCCATTGCAGATGATTTAGAACAAATTATTGGCACTGATTGGGAAGGAGTTACAGTTGAGAAGTAGATGTGCCAAAAGTCTAGCTTACATTCCTATCATCTCCAAGTAAAAAATAATCAGTACTGGGTATTTACACTGTGAAAAATCTCTGCTAAAGAGGCAAAAGACGCATCATGGGTTATTAAGTGCCATACAAGACAGAGATATAGTTGGCCTGACATAATATAAATTCCTATACAGAATCATATATAATAGGATGCTATATAATAGGATTATTATACAGATATGATAGATAGATAGATAGATAGATAGATAGATAGATAGATAGATAGATAGATGATAGATAGATAGATAGATAGATAGATAGATAGACAGACAGACAGACAGATAGATAGATTCTGCTGTAACATATAAGAGTGTCATTTCATCCTGTTGTTATGGAATCATATCTACACTGCCAGACATGCCAGCATTGCTGTCTTTGGCGACAACTCGATAAGCATGTTCTAAATTAAAAAAGACAATCTATCCTAAGGCATAAATGTATTATTCCCAAAATTTCTTCCGTCTACTTGAGACTTCCCATTTTCTGATGGGCAGTACCAAAAATAGGATAGTTCCACTCTGCAGTAGATTCAAAAATGAACTACAGCTTCATCTTCTTGACCCACTTTCTTCTTCTGCAAGCCCTTTTTTTTTTTAAATGAAGATAACTGCTGTTCTTTTCCTAAACCCAATTAGATGCAATTCATGGCGGGGTGGGGGGAGATAATTTAAATATTCCTGCATCCTGTGACACTGATGAGAATCATCTAGCTGCAGCAATTAGGGCGGGGGGGAATCTCCCTTGGATGCAATGGGATCTTTTTCTAAGTTTAATTACCAAGCTAGGAAATTTTCTTCAAAATGGCAAATGAGAAGCAGTGAGAGAAAATGGGTGGAGGAAGCAGGGAGGGAGGTAGAAATACACAAAATATGAATAATGAAGTGCAAGAAACAAGCTTCAATAAAACAGGTGCTAAATCCATGTTTATTAGAAAAGATTGATTACTTTGCCTGGGTTGTACCTAAAACCAAGTCAGATTATGTTTTTTGGAGGTTCACTTTGTTTTTATTTTACTCAGTTGTGTCATAATGGATTCGTAGCACAGAAACAATCTACATTTTTCTCAGACAACCCTGAATTTCAATTTGAAGTGCCCTGTTTTGAGTTTGAAACAATTGTTTCAAGAATCATCAGTTTTATAAACAAACCTCTCCAAATTTGAATCAACATTTCATATGCAACGTTGCAGCTTACAGATACAAATCTGTGTTACTATGTAAACCTGAACCAAATACCACTTGTCAAATTCTGTAGTAATACAGCAGAGCTAGCAACGACACAGGCATTAAATCAGTGGTCGCCTATCAGTGGGCCACGGCCCACTGGTGGGCCATGAGAAAATTTTGGTGGGCCGCAGAGAAATCTCACCCCCACAGCACTCCCCCAAAGCAATTAATCCAGGCTGCACAGAAACACAAGGCTGCGCCACCCACATGGCCCGCGGGAACTCTCCCTGCCCACTCACTCCTTACCCGGCAAACTTGCCTGCTAAATTGCTATTTTTCCCTTTTCCAACCATCATCTGTTCTGCTGTGCCTGGAGATTTAAATTAACTAGAAAGCAGGAAATGGTTGGATTTCTTGCTTTCTAGCTAGTCTTTAGATCTTTGGCTCTGCTTTTAAGCACAGCCGAACCTCCCTTAGGACTGAAGTTTCTATTATTCAGTGCAGACTCACAGCAAGCAAATTTGAGTGACTGAGCTAGCCGATGGCAGATAAATAGATCACTGAATGATTCTGTGAGCAATTCAATCTGCCTGCTTTGCCTGATTTTGGGTAAAAGTTGCTCTTTTTTTTATAAAAATATTCAATATTTACATACATGGTGTGTTGTGAGTTAATTTTGTGAGTTTGCTTGCTAGCAAATTTTATGTGACAGACTAAGCTAAAAAAAATATCAATATTTATATAAATATTTATAATATTTACATACAAGCCATGCCCAGCCAGTCACATGACCACCAAGTCACCCCCACAAATTAGGCCATGACCACAGAACCGGTTTTAGTGGTCCCTGGGATTTAAATTATGAGTTTGGTGGTCCCTGAGGTCCAAAAGTTTGGTGACCCCTGCATTAAATGATACTCATCTGCTTCTCATAATTAATACATCTAAAAATTACAAACCAGTTATCATTGGTTCAATAAAGCTATAACCAAAAACCTGAGCTTCAGTTATTCTACTTTTTGCCCAAGTGAAAGATAATGACTTGAAATATATGCCACCTAGAATAGTGCTTCCCAACTTTAGCAATTTCCAAGTGTATGGTTTTCATTTCTCAGAATCATCAAATATGATAATTGAAGTCAACACATTAGAAGGTTAACCAGTTGGGGACCTAACTCAATACCTCAAGTAATTATTACAGCTATGCACTTGCTGAAAAGCCAACAAGGATTGTTGCACAACATACATCCTTTTATTCAATATATCAACAATAAAATATTTTTGATCCCCAACAAAAAATTATTTTTGATCCCCAAATATAAATTATTGTTGGATGGGACATATTTGAGTATGAACGAATGAATGAAATTATAGTTACCTGAAATCTGCCTCGCTGGAATGATCCAGCTCCAGATTTAGAATGACCAGATATTTTATTATCTCTGGTTGCTTGCTCAGAAAGAGAAATCCAGTCAGAAGCAACATCAGCAGTCATCTCCTCTGTTGTGATTTTTTTTAAAAAAAAGGGGGGGGAGCAGATGGGGGGGACAAACACAAAGGAAAAACAAAACAGGTCAGGTAAATCTGTGACCATGTGAACACTAACAAACAGTACTACATTATAAAATAAGAGTCTACTATACATGTAGGCTTTTTTTTTTAAATATCCCAAGACCTACGCTTCTATGTGGAATGAAAAAACTGGTTAATCAAACCAGAAAACAAAGTGGTGACGGATGAAATGTTACACAGGGATATATGGGTTTGCAAGAAATGCCCAAATTTAAAAAAAAAGAAGAAGAGGAAGAGGAGGAGGAGGAGGAAAGAGAAACATACTTAAAGAAATCAAAACAGATGTTACCTAGTCTAGATCCCTGACTGTAAGCACACTACCTTGCCGGACTTTTGATCTCTTGAAAAAGCTGGTCTGCCGTAGCCTGTATGCCCAGCTTTTTAATTTGCGAGTCCAGGATTTCTTGCTAATAGGGTTTTTGAGACTAGGGCAAGTAAAGCTTAGGCCAAAATATCCACCTCCTGCATGAAGGTTCACAGCTCCACCACTTGATTCTGAAGCAGGACAAGCCACAGGATTCTCAGGAAATGAAGTCTCCAAGGACATCTCCTGAACAAAATAAGGGGAGCAGGGAAGCAGGTAGAAAAGAAACAGTATCTGAATAGCAGGATGAGGATGCTTCACATACCACTTGAGCCTCAGATGCATTAAAGATCACCTCCTTACTTAATGTTACATCAACCCATCTCTAAACAAATCTGAATGTCCAATTCCTGAAAATCTTAATAGTTTAAGTGGAAAAAAGAGGAATGCCAATTTTAAAATTTTAAAACCAATTTTAAAACACCATTTAATTCATTCATTAAACCAGTTTCCTGATTAATTTTACATATAGTCAGATCTCTGGTCCCTATGATTTCCTGATTTTCCACACAGATTTCTCTTCCCATTTAAAAACCACATTACTAAATTGATGAATAGGGGAAAAACATGTTGGAACCATCTGTGTGGAATCAATGCTTACCTTTCATTTGCCAGGATCAATGAAGGAGATGAATTTATACAGGCATTCAGCAATATTCTGTATTTCTTTAGTGGGCAAACAATTTTCAGCCCCCACCAACCCTATCAATACTCACATGTCTGCAGAAATCCCTGGGAACAGAGGTAATGGCCTCTTGCCTCATCACTGGCAAGCTATCAGGATGACTTCCAGGTGGAATGAGTGCAGCTTGGGGATCAGTCTCTTGGGGGGAATTAGTGTCCTGTGTTTCATGTCCCGGGCAGGGAAAAGTATCTTCAGCAGATGAGGAAAATGGAGACTCCACTGCGCTCTGTGTGTCTTTTTGGCTCTCAGGAGAAGTGCCTGACAAGCTGTGCTCCTGATACAGAAGTGTCCGCAGCTTTTCATCCAGAGTTTTGATGTTGCTGTCAACAAAATCTATCTTAGGGGGCCCCTCACTGTCTGATTCTAGAATGGATGTGGAGGAAATTCCTTCCTGACTCGGAGTATGCACCGAAGCAGCTGTTTGCTCAGCATTTATTACATGTTCTGCTTCCTCAGTGATCATTGGTGTGGATTCAAAGGCTTCTGTGAACAAATTCAACTCATTCACAACAGATGCTGGATGAGATACATATGAAGATAGGGGAGCTCCATTAGACTGAGTCTCTGCTGGCAAAGGGTCCAGCCAAGCCTCTGAATCGTAAGTAGTAACATCAGTATTGTCACTTGTAGAGGCAGATGGTAATTTATCCGTGCTGCCTTCTGCTTCATGAGAAAGAGCTGAATGTTCAGGTTCCAAAATTTGGGGTTCAGATATCACACTGTCACTTGTCAAATCCTCTGAACTGAAAGAAGGACTAGGCTTATGTTGGTTACTAAGATTGTCCACAGGTTGTGAACAATCTTTGGGTCTCTCTTCTTTTGTACTTTCCTTTATACAATCTGCAACAAAACAGATGAACAATTGAGGCTAACAAATAAAACTCCAGAAAAAAGCATATTATTAATAAAGCTTTAAAAGCCAATCACAATGTTGGTTACTACTGCTTCTTCTTCTAAAATGTAACATTTCACAGTAAAAGTTAAATATTATTATGACCAAGCGAGAGATGGTTTAAAAAATTCAGATGCCACTATTTTCAGACTTGCTTAGGAAATTAAACCTTATGAATCTGAAACAGAAGATCCTCATCAGAATTGGAATCCTGGAGATATGTTGAAAACCAAGATTCCCAGTATTCTCAGCTAGCATAGCTCATGGCATTGCAGTCCCAACATATTTAAGGGCACCAAGATTGGGAAAGGCTGGGCAAAAAGATATCACAGAAAGAGCCCAGAGAGAAATATTGAAATAACAAAAACTCGGATTGAGGTGATATCATCACCTCAATTGAGGTGATTTTTTTTTCTTTTAAAATGTTTATCTATTTTTAAGCTGTGTCTCATTAAGATGTTTTGATCAAAATAATAAAAAACAGCAAAGTAAAAACTAAAAGGATGGGCTGGTGGGGAGGGGAAGAAAACAAGATCTTATGAACAGTAACATTTAATGTCTGGGCAAATAAAGGGTTTCTTTTATTTATTTCCAAAGAAATCATTGTATTAAGATGGAAAGTTCATTGTTTTATTAAATATATAAAATGATAATTATTATAGGTCAGTGATATATTTATTTCTTGCCCAACCCTAATGCCAATTAAATCACGAATTTTCTTCATCAGGGGTGATATAACAGAAATTCAGTATTGAACTGAATATGGGTGACACTGATTATGCTGTGCTCTCTATTAGAACATGAAGATTTGCTGCAGGTATTAAAACTGATTTTATATAGTTTGTGCTTCTTTATGACTATCCATCACCATACTAATCTAAGAAAAAAAATACAGTAAAAAATGGCAAAGTTAACTCTGTCAACATAATTATTGTGCATGAACCAATAAGGCAACAAACAAATAAGCAAATTATGTTTTTTTTTTAACAGTGACTGAGAAGAACGGTAAAAAGTGTAAAATTTCTATAAAACTTCAGAAAAATGAAAAACATTTCCACAAAATATGAACTTAATCACTTTAGCACAGTGTTAAGAGGCTAGGATCTTCTCAAAGATCAAACAACTGCCATTAACTGGATTGGTTATCCCTAAAGTAATAAAATACTTTCCTATGAAGATATTCATAGTATCTTCATAGGAAAATACTTTATTACTATTCCCCCCCCCCCAAATAATTTGCTTTCAAAATGGAAATGTGATCACAGGGCAAATAAGGCTTTTTGTAAGTTTGCTTAATCTTCTGAGGGATGGAACATGGTTTCAAATTCAGATTGCCTTCCTTTCAGGTAAATGCAGTAATAGTGAAAAGGAAGAGATTCTCAAATAGTCTGCTGTTCTTCACCACCATTCACCTAATACTTTGAATTCTGAGCCACTCTTATTTAAGCAAAGCCCAGTTCCAAAATCATCCAGGTATTATATTATGCGAAAAGAAAAATCTGCCATTCCTCCGCTCCTCCTAAAACATGTATTCACCTGTTGTCTGACATCCTTCAACAGTGTTCTGGGTTTCTCTGTTCTTTATTGTTTGGTTGATGCAAAACCTCCAGCGGCCAACAGGGGATGACTGGGGAGCAGCATCGCCTAAAAGGAGAGAGAGAGAGAGAGAGAGAGAGAGAGAGAGAGAGAAAGAGCAAGCAGGGGAGATCACTTCATTGTTTAGATAATTACAAAAACAGCACTGCTGTTGCAAAAAAAAGGAATCTTAGAAGTAAAATTATCAGGAGGGCTATCCAGAAATCTGGATTTGAAGGGGGAAAGCTGATTAGTAATATGTATGGGTGCTGTCACACTTGTGGATAGCACCACATGGAAAGAGTTTTATTTTTCCTGGATTTTCATGATTGCTGTTCCAGTTGTGTTTTAAGAAGTTAAAATGTCCAATGTGTAGATTGATGTAGTACACTTCAAATAATTTCTCCCCTTCAAGCCTGGATCACTGTAATCCAACTAATTAGGATGCCTGTTAGGTGATAATCCTTAATATTGGGATTAAGATTAGCATTAGGATTAATAGACATAAGGGAACACTAAAGTGTCGACATCAGAGTAAACACTAAGTCTAATGCTGTGTGAAGGGTGGACTTTCTTCCTTCGTGTTTTTTTAAAACATTATTTAGATGCATTTTTTAAAATGAAAGTAGTGTTCCTTTAGAAGCCACTAATGAAACATAAAAGCCTTTCTTTCCTCTTTCCTTTCTGTACAAATCGATTATTCAAAATTATCCTTCTTCTGGCTGACAATACATACACATTTGTTTATTCATTTTTCATGTATTAATTAATTCAATTTAAAGACCATCTAACTTCATAAGAAACTCATTCTGGGTGATTTACAACATTAACTGTAAGAAAACAATACAACAATGAGATCAAAGGTTGTGAATATCTAGAAGAATATTGGATAAAATTCTACAGATACCACCCTATCCCAAAACCTAAGTTCAAAGATGTTCATTAGTAAAAACAATGTTTCTCAGGCCATATTTCCACCATATTTATCATAAATTGCATACACATCTATGAAATTTGCTTGATGTGACACACCTGTCCTTTGCTTGTCTTTATTAAATGTATTGGTACATGACATATTGATCCTGCTTCAATAGAACCATTCTGTATTAATTAATTTTATTCATTTGCACTATTATTTAATTGCAACTGAAACAAATCAAAAGCACTGCTGAAGTATCAGAAAGTAACCATGAGTTTAATTTCCATGGAACAAAGCTCAAAACAAAGGAAAAAAGATATCTAAAATATAATCAATAAAATAATCAGATTATTAGTGAATTCAACAGATTTCCTTTTAATCCAGAGTTTGATTTTTTTCTCAGGAGAAGGCTTTCTGATACATATCTGACTTGTATGACATATTTCTATTTTATCAAAATTTACATTGATTGTATCATTAATCACTCAACCCAGAAAAAGATCCATAACTTTTACTCACACTACAGATTGCAGCATTAGGATCCAAAGAGCTGTGTCAAGCTCCACCAAACATACCAAGTAACAATCATAATTTGCTTTTGAAAACTCCATGTTTTACAATTGTCTTTACATAAGAAAGACTTCTGCTTTATAAACACAACTAATTATCACTCAACTCAGCCTTCCCCAACCTAACTCCCAAATTCTAACTCCCAAAATTGCCAGTCAGCACAATAGTTGGAAATTCTGCAAGTTGTATTCTAATACTTATTTAGCAGTTTTATTGGCCAGCTCAACCCAAAAGAACTGTAGATATTGCCAAATAGATCTACAGAAAACCGGGTTGGGACAAACTACGATGATGTTTGAATTATGGAACTCTGCATTATGGCCAGAATCATAAGCATTCCGGTCCCCTGGGGACCTAAAAACATGCATGTTAGAATTATGTGAAATTACAAAATCAAAAAACCAGATGCTTAGTTTGAGAACAATAATAAAACTGCAATTGTTCTGCTAATGCAACTATTGAAACAAAATTAGGAAACCAACCATGTTTGAAACCGATTGATTTTGTATCATATAAAGGATCACAATAAATAGTTCACACTAGACAACCCATAACCCATTGGGTCCTCGTTTCAGAGATATTTTGTTAAAGAGACAACCAGAATGAGCAGGGTAGGCAAAAAAGCAGTGGGATCATGAGTGACTTTGGACTTCCTGTTGGCTTCTCCATTAAGTTTCCTTGGGGGAAACTGGCAAGGAATATTAGAATCCTTCCTCCCTCCCTCCCAATTTTCCTTCCTTGCTTTCTTTTGGATATTAAAATGCAAACTAAATTGGCTAAAATGATCATTCCATATTTGGACACAGCTCCCTGTAGTAGCTGCAAGCAGGACATCATTATCCTGGAGCAAGGCCTAGGTAGGAGAAACTACGATACAGGTATTGCATGATGTGAGTTATCAGCAATGGCAATAATGCCAAAGTGCATGCCAACTTTTGCAGGAAAGTTGTCAAAAGGCCGGTGGTGCATCTTATTCAGCTGCTGGTGTTGGCATAATGCTGGCATTATGACCCATTTGGTTACATCATGGTTACATACTTAAAATTCATGCCGTTGATAGCTTTGATAACCTCTTGAGATGCATAGTCCTGTGCAGGCCTGGGCCAATATTAGACGAGCCAGCAGGGATTTGCAAGTGTGGAAATCTGACATCAGAGATTTCATCAAAGTACTGCTGCTAGCTTTCAAGATTAACTTTGCCCTACCATCCATTTTTATCCTTAATGCATATGTAGTGCTCAATGCCTTTTGCTGCCTTGGCATACATTTTCACTACTTAATATAGGTAGTCCTCAACTTACGACCACAAGTGAGGCTAAAATTTCTGTTGCTAATTTGTTAAGTGAGTTTTGCCCCATTTTATAACTTTTCTTGCCATGGTTGTTAAGTGAATCATTGCAGTTCTTAAGTTAGTAACAAGTGGTTAAGTGAATCTGGCTTCCCCATTGACTTTGCTTGTCAAAAGATTGCAAAAGGAGATCACATGACCCTGGGGACACTGCAACTGTCATAAATATGAGCCAGTTGCCAAGCATCTAAGTTTTGGTCACATGATCATGGGAATGCTGCAATGGTTGTAAGTGTGAAAAATGGTCGTAAGTCCCTTTTTTCAATGCAGGGATAATTTTAAGGAGTTGGTAGTGAATACAACTTATGTATCTATGAGGCATAGCTTTTACCAAATAGGCTTCTATTATTTCTAAATTTTCTTAAAAGATCCACCAAGCCAACTTCATAAATAATCCTAATTTAGCAACACTCATTAGGAGCTTGTTATTTACCATTCTTCAGCCTATAATAATGTCATTAACATGTTTAGAATATTCCACTAAAATCAACAGGACTGCTGCAGAGTCAGCAACTGACTCTTTGCAGCAGTCCAGAGAATCAAAGGTAAACTATCATAAAGGGATTGAAAGGACAAAAGGGAAAAGAGCTGAAAATAGACCTTTGTCAAAAATCCACTATGTTCCATAGATCTATTTTTAAATAAGGATGGTTTTAGTCTTGTGTGTTTCAGAGTGTTGCTTTGGGTCCTGCAGGATTAAATGTTTTAAAATAGTTACTTACTGCCACTTTGAGTAGATGCTGGATTTATCTGAACTTGTTCAGAAGATCCTGTCTGAATTAAAAATGAATAGATAAATATAAAAGGGGAGTTTCCCAATATAAGTACACATCTTTCCAGAAAACTGGCATTACTAAAAAAAGCTAAACTTACTTGACAGTTATTCGGATCAGCAGATGATTCCATGCCAGCAGCTCGTTCTTCAATAGGAAGACTAGAAATGATGTCTTGAGCCTGGCAGACAATAGCTCTCAGTTCATCAACAAATTTATCCTTCTCATTTTCCAAAACAAAATTATCTTCAACCTAGTAAATGGGAAAGGGAAGAGGGGTGGGAGAAACAGGATAGAAGATATGGATACAAACCTTATTTTGCTGTTCAATTTCTGGCTATCACCTATTCCAACATGCTGTAGAAAATTAGATCTCACCCATAAATATTCACATTCCAAATATTCAGAGTTATTACAAAACATTAACCTTGAAAAAAGTATTATAAAAAAATTTACTGAAGCTTTATTTCCCAATAATGCTAATTTCTGTTCCTTTATGAAATGCCAACTCTTCTCATACGATGCCAGTGCCCAGTTCTTCTATTATAATTTGTACTAATGGAAATACCTCAGTTTTTGAAATATTAATATTGTCTGGCTTCATATCCATCTGAATTTTATTTTTTACTTTTTTCTTACAAAGCAAAATACTAATATCTGACATCATTTTTTATTTTTACAAACATCTTTGGGCACTATCTGGGGGGCTGGAATTATGGTAAGCAGCAATATCTATTTGTCTCCTGATGAATGCATGGTTTGTGATTAGCCTTGCCCAACAATGTTGCCAATTTTGTGAATATCTGGTAAGTGTTCTCAAAATTTCAAATGAGCCCATTAATCGATCGATCATAGAACATACTTATTTCGAAGCAATACCTCCCCCCTGTACTATTTCCTTACAGATGATGAGTACGTTTGGAATAATTCTTCTATAGTATAATGTGAAGGATTATAATTCTATGAATGGTCACCTGAAAGTACATCCCATGTGATGAAATAGTTTCTAATAAAAAGAATAAGGTTCATGATGCAAAGTTAGCTTTCAAATATGAAATGCATATGCTTTCAAAATGCTAATTTAAACACAGAGCACTCTCTGAAATGTTTTTCTAATGTTTCTCTTCTCCTCCTGTCCCTCACCCCCAGGTAATATACTCCCAGGTATTCATGCCAGTAGGTCACACGGAATTTCAACTAGCAGGATCCAGGAGAAAGGCTTCCTCTGCTGTAGCGCTGAGGGGGAACATCTTGCCCATCCCCATGGGGTGAGGTTTGCCTCCACTCTCCTTCTGCCAAGGACCTGAAGATCTGGCTTTGCTGGCTGGCTTGGAGACCCAATGGGGGAGTACTTGAAATAGAGGTTGATGCCAGACTAATTAACTGCGCTCATATTCCCCCCCCCCTCCACGCTTCCTGGTCTCCCTCTTTTTTTAAATTCATTTTGTTGTAGTTTCCTTGTTTTATTATTTAATTACTTTGCTATTTTTGTTTAATTTTTTAAAAAATCTCATTTTCACTATTGTAAGCTCCTCCTCCCCCAGAATAGCCCCATGGCAGGATGAGTGATAAATAATTTTAACAATTAATAAAATATTTAGGACTAAAATATTAATTATATTACCAGTCTAAAGAAAGCTAATAGCTTTCAGAAATTCCAAATGTGATGTTTCCAAAAGTAAAGTGCAGCCATATATTTCTATCCTTTATACTCAGACATTTCTCTAACAGCCCCCAATCCTCTTCATTTTTATAGTCTTGCCCCAAAACCAGTATCAAAATAAATTCTCAAATAAATAAAATGTAGGCATATGAGCTGCAAAACTAAAATTTGGCTTTAGGAAGTTCTATATAACTTGAGGAATATTGAGGAAGCAGAGTACTTGCATTTGAACTATATAGCATCTAAATAATTTTTAAAAGTTCGAATGCCATTAGTAAAAAATTATCTACTTTGAAGCAAGGCATATGTAACTTGCCATGTAATCAGCTATATCCTCTGGAGCATCTCCATCAACATCGAATTTAAATGTAACCATCTTGTTGTTATGCGTTTCAAGTTGGCACTCAACAGTATTGTCTCCAGATGTTGATACCTGATTGAACAGCAATAAAAGAGACATTGTGCTATTAGACAGATGCAGAATACATCTTTTTTTTCTACCTTTAACATCTAACGTAAGTTATACTTTGCTACCAATTCCATAAAATCACCTGAGCAGTTCAACAACAAAGCACTATTATAATTGTCTTTACTATGGCAAGGCTCAACCTTGTCAATAATTTTTATTTAAATGCATGTCCCAAAGGTGCTTTTTTTCAAGAGGCAACTGGACATTTTTTGGTTTTTCTTTGAAAACGTTTTGCTTCTCATCCAAGAAGCTTCTTCAGCTCTGACTGGATGGTCAGCTCTTTCAATGCATGTGTTACAGGTCGCATACTGTATCATTAACCAAAGAATTAGGAATCATATGAGACTGCTTCATCTTCTAATGATGGAAACATTGTGTCAATAGAGGGCAACTAGCTGGTTTTGTTCTTTCTGCATCCTGCAATATAAACATTCACACATATCTGAAATATTGCCTATGAATTAGAAGAGCCAAAGTACTGGTTCTTAATAGAAACAGAGAAAATAATTCTCCACCTGCAATAAGAATTAATGTGGTTTGTCTTGTTTTTGCTTAGCTATGGGTGAACCCAAGCACTGTAGTTTACAAAATATGACTTATGCCTTAGTGGAATGTACAAACTCAGCCAATTGTGAGTCAATTAAAATTGGTCACTGTTTAATACATAGATATACAGAACCCATTTTCTTGAATGCATGGTAACATTAAATCACTGTTTTAACTGCAAGCAGTAACCAAAATTGTAAAAACATTAGCACTTAAGCTAAGGTAAACAATCTCTTTATTGATGTTGTCACAAGATCTGAAGATACGCTCTTATGTAATCTTGTTTCTCTTCTACATCCTGTTCTCCAGGATCATGCAAGTATTTTGGGGCTAGTGAATTATTTGTAATTTTGAAAAGTGTATCTTGAGCACTGTCAGAAAATGATGATTATAGAAGGATTTTGCCTACATATAAATTGGCCCCATAAAATGGACAGTCATAAATCAATTACTTATCAGATAAGCTTACTTTCTACTTCTCCAAAGTTACCTTTGACTTCTATTCTAAGCACATTCCAAGCAAGGTACTGGAGTGCAGTTGCTCACTGTTTTTTTTTTTTAAATATTTATGAAGTATTCCTGTAAGAGCTATGTGAAGGCCAGTGGCATTTTTCTCAAGAAAAGTGATGCTACTTGATGATGCCTTGCTTTACAGCATGCTAACTTTGGTAACTTCTTTGTCAAAATAAATAAATAAATAAAGTCAGAGAAGGCAGGAAACCTAGCCAGCAATTTTGTTGTATATCCCTATTTAAAAGCTTCCAGTTTAAAAATATACAAACCTGCAGCACAGTGAGTTGAAATTTGGTTCCCTTCTCTGGCCGGGCACAGGAGGTCCTTCTCTGTTTGCTCTTGTCTTGTTTGCCATTTCCACATGGAAGGTCACAGCCAGTCACACCTTCCTTTGGAAGGTCCTGTACCAAGCTAAACAAAAGAAAGACAGGCATATCCTTACCTCCTAAACTTTCTAAACATTAATAAATATAAAACAAAAATTTCAATATACCAATAGCTTAAATCAGAGCCAAAACAATAAATACAGAAAAAACAAAATTTAGACTAAGGCAGGCACTACTTGTTCAGTAACTTAAAAATGATTTTAAAATGCCCATCACTGCTCATGCTGAACACGTATATCTACTGGACTAAAATGCTTTTGACAAGGAAATAGTATAAATTATTATGCTTGAAAAACTGCCAAATTGCTTCTTTATTTCTATTATAAAACATCCTAAACTCAGCAACTTGGACCTAGGAAATTCTGTTCATGCAGGGAAGGGCAACTTCTACCTGTGGAAAATTTTCAAATTTTCAATGACACAATGGGAAAGGAAATGATATTGCTTAAGGGATAATTGACAAAGATTTTTTCCTTCTACTTCAATGATGGCAGCTTTCTGAACACACACAGGGAATGTTCTTGCCAGTGCAAAAGAAGCTGGATCCAGCCAAGTGGATCTCTTAGAAGCACTGATCCTATTCTGCAGAAAAGTGTAACTGCTCTCAGATTAACCTAAAACATTCTTTTGGGGATACTTTATGCTTACAACTTTAAAGAAAATGCGATTTAAGTTAAAACTGGGTTGAAACATATCGACCTTAATCTATGTTACTCTTAGTCACAAATTTCTCATTGCAATAATTAATTAATAAGGTATAGGTCACCGTTTTTAACCTTGGGATAGAGGGAGTGAGGACCATGAGAGTGATGCCAAGGCTAAAACCACAGCCATACAATTTCACTAAAACAAATTTGGGCATATCCGCACATCCTCCCACTCTCCCATTACATTCCAACTTAGGGAACAAGAGATTTAGAGCTTTTTTCAATGGCAGTTTGTTATATTTCTGTGCTGTGCTCTAACTAAGGAAACTGAGGGTAGATTGTACATATCTACATAGGACAGGGAAGGCATAGCTATATATGGATCTTTACAAATGTGACGTTGTAGCTTCAGTTTTGCCCATTGCTGTTATGTTCTGCTGAAATAGTATGTAGAAAACAATGTGGGCCTACTGTACAGTAGGAAATTTTGCCAGAGAAATGGCCAAGTATTGAAACTGAATGATGCAGCAAAGAACATTTTTGATAACTTAAAGAGTGTTTAATGAATTGTTAAAGACACACACTCTTAAAAATGCTTAATCTAAACTATTTGAGTAAAGAGATTCCACACGTTTTTTTTTAACATTTCATTTGATTAAAAGAAATACCTAAACATTTCATCTTTCTTCTCACATTCTTTGAGAACTGTTACCTTTTCAAGTCATCTTCTGTTTCTGGATATATTCACAGTCCTCTCAGTTCTTCACTTATCAATAAAGAATGTAATTGTTCACCAAGCTGGGGCATAATATTCTAAGCTATCTTTCCCCCACTTAGGAGTCTCCAGTGTTATTATATTGACTCTTGGTTAATGTGAGCTGAAATCCAATCCTCTTTACTGCTGTGACAGCCAAGTGAATTAATCTTAGAGCAAACTCACCCTTGAATAGACTCTTGTTTTTGAACTGCTGGCTGATGCTCATGTTCATCCACTGAGATGGAAACCTGTGAGGAGAAAAGGGGTAAATGGATGTGTACCATTTGCTAATTTCCCCTGAACGGGGGAAAACTTTTAGAAAAGAACTAACTCCAGAACAGGCAAATGGTTTGTGTGTTTGACATAGCACACACTCATGCTTTACTAGATAAAGTATCAAAAATAAACCAGCACAATATTTTATCTTGGAAGTTTTAACGAAGTATTGTGTTTGCTTTTTTCCTCTTAGCTATTTAAACTGTGATTTTGTAGTCATTTTCTTTTTATTTTATAGTCTTCTGTAAATCATCATCTTTGTGACAAGATAAAGCACCTTTTCATTATTGTTATATTGGCCCACTGATAAATGATACAACAGGCTACAAATCACTAATAAGGAAACAATTGTAACTTTCTCAGATTTTACTGTACTTCATCCAAGTATAACTGATACTGCTGCCCTGACTTAGAGCTGTTTTTCTACTCAAAAATTAGATAGGAATTGCTCTCTAGTATGCAGAACTTTTTATGTGATTTTAGCCTTCAGATCAATGGTGGATTAATTTTTTTTACTATCGGTTCTGTGGCCATTGCTTGGTGGGTGTGGCATTGCTTGGTGCGCGTCGCTTGGTGGGCGTGGCAGGGGAAGGTTACTGTAAATCTCCATTCCCTCCCCATCCCACTAACCTGCTTTCCAGCTCCGTTCTCCTGTGCAGGGCAACAAAAGAAGACCCAGACGATCAGCTGGGACTCGGGAGGCAGAGAATAGATGGGGGTGGGACCAGTCAGAGGGGGTATTTGCCAGTTCCCTGAACTACTCAAAATTTCCACTACTGGTTCTCCCGAACTGGTCAGAACCTGCTGAATACCACCTCTGCTTCAGATACATAAATATTACACTAAAGATAATTGTTCTAACCAGAATAGTCCAACCAAAAAAAAATGTAAAAGCAACAGTACAACAGGCACATAGAAATATAATCCAAAGATTGCTACAGCTAGTGATTTATAATACAATTAAACCTCTTCTATATGTGGTTATTTTTAAAGCTCATTAATAATCTAAGTACTAAGAGAATTAAAAGGCTTCATGGGATTCAAGACTCAAGCCAGTCTTCTTTAAGGAATTTAAGGCATGAGATAGCAATTTTTGTGAAATTAAAACTTTAAGCTGGATCCAAGAAGTTAGTGAACTGTATCATTAAGAAGACAGGATAACTGAGATGTGATACTTGTACACAATTTAAATTACAGGCCAAAATGCCTAGGCAGCTAAAAAGAAAAAGACGGAGTCAGCAAGAAGAAGGAAAGAAAATTTTGAAGTAATGGTAGGTATTAGAAGTCATGCACTAGAGAAAAGACCCATGAAGCAGGGGAGGGGGCCACACACAAAAACAGCTGGAACTATATTATATGAGAGAGGATGATGAGGAAGACAAATCATATACTGAGATAAGAAATTGAGAACCAGGATGGCTCAGCAAATAGGACCAAATGCAATCAAGTAACATGTTGGCAGAGACATAGAATCAAAGAAAGGCAAGGGAATGCCCACTTCCCCCCCCCCCTTACACAGGCTCTTGGATTATATCTATTTTTTAATCTTTTAAATTCAGGAGAGCATGAAGTAACTCTCAAGAAAGCCATGCCTGTCAATTTATCTTAAAACTTCACAATTAAAAGCAAATTAGTGAAATAGTTAACAAAAAGAGAACCAAGGGAAACTTTTTCTTGTTTCTTGCCTCCAGAAACCGTGGGCTCTCCGACACTGGATGTTTTAAAGAAAAGTCTAGACAGTCACTTATCTTAAATGGTATAGGTTCTCCTACTTGATCAGGGGGCTGCCCTAGAAGACCTCAAAAGTCCCTTCCAGTTCATTCTATTCTATTCTATTCTATTCTATTCTATTCCATTCTTACTTTTTTTCTGGAAGACTTTTTGTCCAACACCAGTTCACAGAAAAGAAAATGTGATCTAAAATGACGTTGCAATTCACTCCAAACAAATCCATATTGTTTGTATCCCAAACTCATAATCCAGAACCCAATTCCAAAAAAGAAAAAAGTCCTATAGAGTATTACTTTCTTTTGTAGCAGCATTACTAATTGATGAACAGTTTTCATTATTGACCCAATCACTTAGAGCTACCTCACGTAGTTCTGCTTGAATTCTAATGTCTGATAGACAGACTATTCATTAATTTCTAACATGCCAAATTGATTTGTTGTTATGAGGATGCCCAATTTAGGAAATTATCTTCTGCTAGAAATTTGTTTGGCCTTCTCTCTAGTTTCACTATTAAGCAAAACAATTTTCAAACTGATTGATTAACCAGTTGGTAATGGTTAAGGGAGGCTATTAGCCCACTGGATTCTCCATTCTTTATAATGAGTGTGCTTAAATAAAATCAGAATACATTTGACTTCACTATTTTTGACCGATGGGGACATTCACAAAGCTATAATTATGGAAGCACTATTTTTTTCTGAGTGTGGAGCTTCAAATATGATCAACTTGTGCTTACTCTTGCTTCTATCAAATTAACCAATAACTGAACAACCTTTGCACCCACCCTCAGGTAACCGTCATACTTGCAAACATTTGATAAATATCTTGTAACTTTCCCCACCTGAAAAAAATAAAAAATAAGATAAAATAAAATAAATAAGATTGACGTGTGTTTTTAACCACTCCCTCGCAATATATTCATGTATTTGGTGGTTTGCAAAAATTACAAACAAAAGACAACCAAAATTCCTTTCTAGAAATTAAAAGGTGGAGATGAGGGAAAACTAAAAAAACACCTTGCTTTTCCCCCCAAAAAATGTCTCCATAGTGCTCCATGATAAACCTGCACTTAAGAACCTATGACCATGGGTCATAGGCTGAACCCTGTGCAGCTGTCAAGGAATAGGGAAGTTCTGTATAGTTATTTTCCTTTGTACATCTAGATTATTTATGTACAGGTTGATAATTTTCTTATTAGAGAAATTAGCAAGTGGAAAGATCTGCTTCTAATATCACCATTATCCTTTTTCCCTTAATGCAAATTACTGTTCCTTCGTGAAATAAAATTTGAAAGTGAAAAATTAGGATTAAAAAAATTAAATGTTCTCTTATAATAAACATTTTTTCCTTTGCCCTTCTCTGGGATTAAGTTACTGAGAAAGTGATTTTTTTCTGTAGATATAACAACTGGCATACCTGTGGAATGTCTTGTCCTTGATGATACTCTTGGTTTGGTTCATTCACAGCAGTAAATGCTGTTTGCTGGTTCAAAGAAGCTGCCATAGAATTCTTAAAAGGCATCTGCTCCTGGACACTCAAGTCTGCAGATAAAACTGAGTTCTGACATACTGACTGCTGTTGAATGTACGCTGGTTGTACTGGTGGAGGAATAAACTGTTGGTTATTGTCAATTGGTTGAAATGTTTGAGACTGTTGGAGGAGAGGAGCATGATTCAACAGTCCTGACACATCCAAAGATTGTTGCATTGTATAAGCTTGTTCTGGCTGTTCTGATACAGAAGTTACAGTCTGTAATGTATCAAAGGCAGACTGAGGGATAGTGGCTTTGTGCGGCTGAGTAATAGGTTGCTGGCTAAACTCCTGATAAGGAGGTTGTGGTTGCGTTTGTGGTGTAAAAGATGGCTGAGACGAGGCAAAAGGTGCCTGTGGCCCTGACTGTTGTCCTTCTGCAATTTTATGTGCCATTTGTGGTGGGTGCAGCTCCTGGTGGCTCATGCCAGAATCTTGCTGAATAAGATATATTGTTGGCTCAGGCAGATGTGGCTCAGAAGGATAAGCATGGGTTTTTGTGGATTGTGTTGAACAGATCTGCAATTCCATGTTGCCAGCATCTCCATCCTTCAATAGGTGTAATGACTGATCAGGTGAATGCACAGCAAAACTTGGCTGATCAGTATTCCGTACTGCTAAATGAGCTTGCTGGGTCTCTGGAGGTTGAGCCATATATGTTGGTTGAGTTATATATGCTGCCTGCCCTTGATAAACATATGCTGACTGGTCCAAAGAATGACCTGAATATACTCCAGAAGCTGCATAAACCAATGGCTCTGGGCAAGGTGCCTGATTTGAACCCTGTGCTGCGTAAGTGACATGCATCTGACATGCTGCTTGCTCTGGACTCTGCAGCTGGTTAGTTGGCTCTAGCTGGTGCTGCAGCTGCTCTGAAACTGGTGGGTTGTGTGGGGATTGTGCTGGATATATCATTTGTTCCTGGATTTGCAGCTGATACTGGGTCTGGATGGGATAAGCCACCTTTTCTGAAGTTGAACCTGAGAATTCAGATTGCTGATGCTTTTCCATGTCTTGCTGGGAGACAGCTGGCAACTGATCTTTGGAATTAGAAGGGAGAACAAACTGCTCTTCTTTCTGTTGTTGTGGAGGCACATGAAATAACGTATGTTGCATTACACAAGGATGCTGATTTGTAGAATGGTGTATCTGAGTCATTTGTTGCTCTTGTTGAGGCCCCGAAGTATCTAGGGATATTTCTTGGCACTGTGAAACCTGCTGCATAAGTGTCACTTGTTGTGGTACAGCGGAGACCTGATGTAAGGGTACAATATGTTGAGATTGTGAAGTTGGCTGCCCACATGCCACCTGTTGGGGAACCAGCTGAGGTTGCTGTGAGGAGGCCCCACGCTGTGTAACTTGCTGCATGGAGGCTACCTGCTGTGGAATCTGCAGGGATCCAATCTGCTGACTGGCAACTTGCTTAGATTGCAGCCCTGGTGCCATTTGCATTGATGTCCCCTGCTGGAGAACTTGCTGAGGAGCATGCTGGGGCTGAGTCATGGATGCCACCTGTTGTGGAGCTTGTGGGTGTCCTTGCTGTGGCTGCTGTATTGATATCATCTGCTGTGGAACTTGCTGTGGCTGCTGTATAGATGACACTTGTTGTGCCTGAACAGTTGCCATTTGCTGTGACTGCTGCATGGTTGTCGCCTGTTGAGGAACCTGCTGTGGTTGCTGTACGGGTGTCATCTGCTGCGGAATATGAAGAATATGCTGTGGCTGTTGTATGGAGGCCACCTGCTGAGGGCTTTGTTGTGGCTGCTGCATAGGTATCACCTGTTGTGAAATAAGCTGTTGCTGTTGTATGGGTGTCACCTGCTGGGGAATATGGTGTGGTTGCTGTATGGATGCTACCTGCTGAGATCCCTGTTGTGGCTGCTGTATGGGTGTCATCTGTTGTGGGACCTGCTGAGGAATATGTTGTGGGTGCTGCATGGATGTCACCTGCTGAGGGACCTGCTGTGGAATATGCTGTAGTTGCTGTGTGGATGCTGCCTGTTGGGATACTTGTGGTTGCTGTATGGGTGCCACCTGCTGTGAAGCCTGCTGAGGAATGTGCTGTGACTGCTGTATGGATACGGCCTGTTGACATCCTTGTTGTGGTTGCTGCATAGGAGTCACCTGCTGTGGAACCTGTTGAGGACTTTGTTGTGGCTGCTGTATGGGTGTCACCTGTTGAGGAATATGCTGTAGTTGCTGTATGGATGCTGCTTGCTGAGGACCTTGTGGCTGCTGAATGGGTGTCACCTGTTGTGAAAGGTGCTGAAAAATATGCTGTGGCTGTTGTATAGATGCCTCCTGTTGAGGACCTGGTTGTTGCTGTTGTTGTTGTTGCTGTACGGGTTTCATCTGCTGTGGAACCTGCTGAAGAATATTCTGTGGCTGCTGTATAGATGCTGCCTGTGGAGGACCTTGTTGTGGCTGCTGTATGGGTGTCACCTGCTGCATAATATGCTGCTGTTGAATGAGTGTCACCTGCTGTGGAACCTGTTGAGGTTGTTGTATGGCTGCTGCCTGTTGAGGACTTTGTTGTGATTGCTGTAAAGGTGTCACCTGCTGTTGAACGTGCTGAGGGATATGGTGTGGCTGCTGTATGGATGTCACTTGTTGTGGGACCTGCTGAGGAATAACATGGGGCTGCGGTGTGGATGTTACTTGTTGAGGAACCTGCTGAGGAATAAAATGGGGCTGCGGTATGGATGTTACTTGTTGAGGATTCTGCTGAGGGTGCTGCTGCACTGATGCCACTTGTTGGAGAATCTGCTGAGGAACTTGTGGAGGCTGGTGTATGGCTGCTGCCTGTTGGGAAATTTTCTGAGGCTGCTCCAGAATCTGCTGAGTAGAAGCAGTTTGGCTTTGCTGTATAGATGTCGCTTGTTGAGAAACTTGCTGAGACTGCTGCATAGGCATCCCTTGCTGGTGAATTTGCTGTGGTTGCTGCAAGGACACCCCTTGTTGAGGTGGCTGCATAGATGCTACCTGCTGAGACTGCTGCATAGCCATTAGTTTCTGGGGAATCTGCTGCATAGCTGCAATTTGCTGAGGAACCTGCTGTGAAGATGTCACCTGTGGAACTATTTGCTGGCTTGGCTGCATAGATGCCATCTGCTCAGAAACTTGCTGTGGTTGCTGTGTTGATGGCACCTGCTGTGAAACTTGCTTGGGTTGTTGAATAAGTCTAACTCCTTGTGGAACTGACTGAAGAACTTGAATGTTGTTGACAAATTGAACCGAAGGCTGCCCATGTAGCACAGGGGACTGACTGGCAGATACCAAATTGGCAGGAGCAGTCTCTAATTCCACTGATCCCACAGCAGCTGTAGCCTGACTACCAAGTCTAGCAGCAGAGGTTAACTGTATGCTTGTTGGCATGTGTTGATTCCCCACTTGTGAGGCAGGTATATTCTGAGGAGAAGTTATTGTCAACATCTGCTGAGGAACTCCCATGATGGATCCATCCAAAGCTTGACTTTCTGTACTGTAGGATACCTGTGAATCTGGAGGCTGGTAAAAAATAAATGTATTTTAGATGTTGATAAAGTAATTATTTTATATCAAGATTTTATCCTATAAAATGTTGTCAGAAAAATAATCTTTTAAGTATCATTTCACAGAGAACTCAGTATATGCAAAGTAGCAACATACATAACATACTGCATAGGATAAAATGTTGTCATAAAAATAATCTTTTGGACATCATTTCAGATGTATATAAAAAACAGCAATACATAGAATGCATTGTACAAGTTAAAAATGTCAGCTGTAAAATTCCATCACCTTGGCAACACTTATTCAATGTTTTAAAAGAATTACTTTAATTATAGGGACTGTACAATTGGTAATTCTTTTGGCTGTGCTCTAAAAAGAATAAAAGGAAATGTTGAAAGTTTTTCACATTTTATATTTGAGATGTCTGAGCAAAAACTGCTATTTGTGAATGTTAGTCCCATCTGGCAATATCATTGTAGTGAGACAGCATGTTAGGTATAACATTGATACCAAATATGGTTTGGGTGAATAAATA